TCAAATCTCTCAATTCTGGCTTCTAGAGCCCAGGTTTCATAACCGTACAGCAGAACTGGCTTGATCACGATGTTGTATACCCTTATTTTTAGATTTCTGAAGATTTTTTCAGGATTTCAGCACTCTTGAAAGGGATAAGAGAGATCTGTTCGCATGTTATTCGCTGATCTATCTCTGTTAGTTGATCATTTATTGAGATTATTGTGGAGCCGAAGTATTTGAATCTGTATTCCGGAAATGACTTAGGGTCCACGCATTCATCGTGTTATTAATATGGATGTTTCGGCTATATATATATATATATATATATATATATATATATATATATATAAACATAATTATTTTATTGGGAATACGATCAAATAATATTTATTCAACAAACTACTAAATTTTCATTGCTCCTGCTGTTTATTCGACGTTTCTTTATATATATATATATATATATATATATATATATATATATATATATATATATATATATATATCGAATCTGCAATATCAGGTCCTCCTTGATCTTCAGGGCCCGGGGCAAGTTGCCTACATATTCCCCGCGTTCTTAAGCCCAGGTTCACGCTCAAGTATATCGGAAATCGGAAGTCATGAATAAAACCACGGTATTAACGGAGTGGAGAAGAGATCGCCAGATTTAATCAAAATTTATTGATTACCTCAAAGTCACAGCAAACTTATCAATATATTGAATAGAATATCTCATTTCTCTCAAGGATATGTATTTGAACTTTTTTCTCTTTGGATAAAATTCTAGCAATAAGACAAATGCAGAAACGAAAAACATCAATCACCTCTGAACCATGTCCAAAGAAAAATAAATAAAAATGTTCTTTTTATAAACGATTTTATTGGACCAAAAATAACCAATAAAATCTGGCGGTTACAATCAATAGTTAATATCGTTATAGTTGCTAAAGTATAAAAAAAGAAACATATTGAAAAAAAAGCTTTTCATTTTAAAAGTCTGACCCTCATCATAGTAGCAACACTTAACAGATCCCATGGCTACGTTAGACAATGCACGATGTATTATTAGAAACTTCATCGTCGATTTCTTTCTTTCACACATCGCTCATTTACATTAACAACGTCATAGCTAAAGATTTGTCAGGAGTTGCATTTGAAGCACGTTAATACTTTATTCAATTCTGTGAAACTATATTTTAAGTACGACATAAAGAGAGTGCAGGGCTGACTTTGATAGCTCTGAAACGACACTCTGCTCGTTAAAAGTTTACTTCGTTGCCATTTTCTCTGATATCATAATACAATAATCATGACTTCGGATTTATGACGTTGTTGCTGCAAATGATCGATATGCACTCATATACATAAGCATATTTTATTCATAGAACATGCCAAGGGCATAAGTAGCTTTAAATATTAGGTGGGAGGGGAGCAAGACGAAAAATCTCAGGTAGTTAAGTAATTTCAAACTGTATACTAATACACTAACAGTAAGCAGTTTATTATTATTTCAATTTATAAATATTTTTATTTGTAACATATACGTTTCGCAACAATTTAAAAAAATTAATTTTCTAGAATTTTCGGCAAACCTTGTTTATTGTATTGTGTTTTAATTTCTTTCAAATTATTTAGGGAGATAACGGACCTCCTCGGCCTTCGCCCATGGGATATGAAAGGATCAAATGAAAAAAACAATGATTTATAATAGCAAATATTTTATAACAAATCAGAAAAATGGTTTATGATCTTATGTTCTACTGAATTGGGAACTGATATTAAAAATGATTAAATATAATGAATGAAGAAAATTGATTGGTAACTGTTTTTTTATTTATTTATTTATTGAATAATACAACATTCTATCAATTGGACATTGCCTATAGGCAGGTAAGATCACACTCACTCTATATGTACAAAACAAATATTTAAAAAAAACCGTAGCAAAATAACAACTAAATAATAATAAAAAAGTATATACAATAAATAAAATAAAATAACTTAAAAATAAGGAAATTAAAAAAAGCAAAAACACATACATACCTGTATACACTACTTGTTATCAGATCAGGGAACTCCAAGACAGACTTGTCTCTCCTAATATGAATTACTTATTATTTATGGATTATTTAGCTAATTAATTAGGAGAAATAAGGGTTGAAAGCTATACGGAAACAGCCGATAACACCCGACCTTTGCCGATCCTCTCAGTTTACTGATACCCTGTACTCCTCTGTACAGTGCTTACATATTGGTAACTTAACTGTTATATATCACTTATCCATAATATTTTAAAAAGGTTTTCACTCGAAATCTTGAGGATTTACTCATATAAACCTAATAATAAAGAATATTCACAAACGTTATTTTTTCGATGAGTTTCGTGATAAATGTTTCCGATAAAACTCAGAATTTTTCCAAAAGATTCATTTTCGCCCACAATCATTAGTATTGTTTGATACTATATTAGATATTAATAGCGATGCAAACGTATAAATTTAATAGATTCGATGGGCGTGAAAAAAAATTAAAACAATTAACTGTTTTATTGTATCGGAAACATTTATCACGAAACCTGTCGAAAAAATATCGTTTGTGAATTCTCTATATTATGAGATTTATATTAGTAAATCCTCAACATTTCACATTAAAATATTATGGATAAGTGATATATAAAAGTTAAATTACCAATATGAAAGCACCGTACAGAGGGGGTATCGGATATCAGTAAACGGTAAGGATTGACAATGGTTTTCGTATAGTTTCCAACCCTTATTTCTCATCTAGTTACTTAACTGGCGCAGGGATCTCCTGGAGTCCTGTTTTTCCCACCATATTTGGAGGGACAAGCCTGCCTCTGAATGCCCTCTCCTGGTTGTAAATAGTGTATATAGGTATGTATGTGTTTTTTGCTTTTTTTAATCTCCTTTTTTTTTAAGTTATTTTATTTTATTTATTGTACATAATTTTCGATTATTATTTAGTTGTTATTTTGCTTGTGTTTGTTTTATTTTATTTTTTTACATATAGTGTGAATGTGATCTTACCTTCCTATAACCAATGTCCAAGCGACAGAATGATGTCCTATTCAATAAATAACTTTTTTTTAAAAAGTTACATATCAATTTTCTTCATTCATTATATTTAACCATTTTAATATCAATTTCCTAATGTAAAATGGTTAATTATTTCAAATAAAAAAAATTAAAGGTACTTTAGAGAAAGAAATTTTAAAAATTAGGCATTTAAATAGTGTTAGAGAGCATCAATGAGAATAAAGCCCACATTATATTAAAAACTGCTAATTTTACACTGGTGTAATGAATTTAATCGAAATCGTTAAAGCCGTTTTCGAGAAAATTGTAAACATGTGTAAAATCTATGATATAAACTGGCACTTCCGGTTGCAAAGTTGTAGTAACATCCCAGGCATGTACAAACCTTAAATACGCAATTTCAATTGCGTACGACTTTTCATTTTTGGGCTAGATTGTTCACACACACACACACATACAGAGAAAATTAAGCGGGACTTGCTCATTTGGACTCAATACATAAATTTCCGTTGAAAAATCAGATTCAAAAATTTTCACGACTGCAATACTTTCCCTTACAGTGTATCACATATATAGGTAATTGAAAGTAAAAATGATAAGGAGCTTAAATTTCTTCACAATGTTAGTTTGTTCACCGCGGTTTAACGTCATTATGTTTTCCAACAGAACAAGAAGGACGGATTATCTATTAGCTGATCACAGGTTCTTGCCAGAATGATAAGAAATGTGATACGAAGCTCAGAAATGTAATAGATGGTTCGGAAACATAAGTTGACGTGGCTCCCCTCTCCAAACCATAGAAGTTATCAGCATGAGAAGTATTGGGAAAAATTGTTTGATGTCTTACGAACATTAATAGATTATTAATAAAATATACTTTGTGGCTCATGTTAATATATATGCATGAAATACATGCAAACATGCATTATACAAAAAACGATTTACAAGAAATGTGAGCGTGAACTAATACATTTCTTTTCTCTGCTGCCACAATGGTGGACTCTGGATACGTCCCTGAAAATAATTATGTTGAATTGTGAACAGTGAGTCCTATTTTGTCTTCCTTGCGCAGCTCAATCACGATTCTGTACCTTTTTCATGATATTCCTTCATAAATTTATTATTTTATTTACTTTTGGAAAAGACCTTATTTAACGCAAAACCGTTAGCCGGAAGTAAAGTAATGCGCTAATCAAATTCATATATGTTTAGTTATATCTCGCTAATAAGATTTCAATAATTCCTTCACATTTCAATTTTTAAATTATGTTTATATATAAATTTAACCTGATTACTAAAAGTTTTACAAATATTTGAAATCTGACTTAATTATTTTCTCTTACTATAAATTTTGTATACGAATACAATTTCAACCTAATTTAAGATAAGGCCCACATATTGCAAAGATATTTCTAACGTATTTTTGATTTTATTACTTCTCAAACATACAGCAAAACTACAGAATTAATAATAATTTGATAAGTATTAGTTACATTGACTTTTATGAGTAAAAGTCTTAATTATTTAATAAGTTCCAAAAGTTTAAATACATCTGTCTATAACATTCGAAAATGATATCATACACTATCTATATCAATAGTGTACCAAATTAAAAAAGATGAGTCTCGTTTAGTTGCTGAGAAATTTTATTATTATTTAAAAATATTTCACGCGAATGAGATTAATAAGTTAGTTAACTTATTAGTGATAATTTTAGATACTAGGTATTGAACAATGTAATTCGTACATACATATATATATCAGTGAAGTTGTTTAAAATAATTTAAAAATCTAATGAAATTGTCATCGACTATAGACCAGCCAATGATTATATAAGATGCATTAACGCAATGAGTGACTTTTGCTTTCACGATGTTCATATGAGTAACATTTGGGTGGAAGAAAGAGCAGAAGGATCAAAAAATCCTTGGTATTTGGTAGTTGGTGATGAACAACTACTTACAGGTATCCTAGAGTAGGAGGTAAGCCAGACCCAGTGATCTTGGCTTCCATTCGTGGTCTTCTCCTTTTCGACGAGCTCGTCTCGGATTGTAGGCTTGAAAAACTCGACCGTCTCATCGCTAGCAAGGACAGCGTTGTCGATGTCCCTCTTGCAGCGAACCCTCTCATCCTGGTCCCACCGCCGTTCCAATCTCCCGATATAGAGGTAGAGGTAGATGGAGCTGAGGAGCTGGCAAAGAGCCAGTACGGCCACGCACAAGTAAAGACTGCGATCCCTCTCGACGGACATAACTCGACTGCCACTGATTGGTTCAACGACTGCTACTCCCATAGCGCATGCGACCAATTTATTAATCCTAGCAGGCATCTTCCCGTTCGACACTCCTTCTTTAGAGAATGATCTTTCAGATTCAGATTATTTCAAGCAGGAATCATATTTCTATAATGCCCTGATGAAAAAGTGATGGATCAATATGGAGTTCGTCAAAAGTCAGTAATGAGATTCAACAGAAGAAAATTTACTGTTATTTTATCTTTATCGCATTTCAAAATAATAACCCTTAAAGATTTTCTTAAATCGCTTGAAATTTCCTTCGGGAATTTAAAATGAAGATCCAATGAAATTATATCAATAATTTTATATAACTGATTATTTATTCTGAACTCATATAACAATAATCTTTCCAACTTATTTCTATCTATATAAACCTGCATAACAGTATTTGCCATTATATTAGTTTGAAAGCTAACAAAATGATCGATTAAATAGAAGTTGAATAGATTAATTGACCCACAGATCACCAATCATTGCTTGTAATGAAGATTAATCTTTTGTTACATACTATGCATCAATCAAAGGCGTAGTCAGAAGGAGTGGGTCTATTTAAAAAAGGAATCCAATTTATTTGACGGAAAATTTGATTGTTTTTTTTTTTTTTTTTTGTAATTTCTGTCTTTTTAAATATTTTAAAATTATTAAGAACGCACTTTTTTTAAAAAATGTTTTTGGGATCAATGAAATAAAATATTACGAAAAAAAATAGTTTGGACTATTTAAATTATGTAATGACCGCAGCTCCGGATCATCTCTTCATTCAGAAATTTGGTTTTTTATTTTATTTAAAATGTATCGTATGCTGAAAGAAGGGGAAATCTTTCCCCCCTCCATATACGCTCATGGTGTCAATACTTATACTATTTTTCATTTATAGAGTGATTGGTACCTTCAAGATATGTTTTTTTGAAATCAGAAGGGTTCTCTTTATAAGATTGAAATCCAAAAATTATCGATAATCATACAAATATTAATATTAGCAGGGAAAATATATTACATCGACTTATCGGTTGATTAACAACATAATATTAAAGAAACGTTGATTATTCTATTACTACTGTTAAATTTAAAAATAATCAAATCGGTAACATATATTTGGGGATGGGGTAGCCGTGCGGGCCAAGGCACTTACAATAGGTAATCAAAGATAAACAACGTCGAGCGTGGTTAGCACTTGGATAGGTGAACGCCCGATTTGGGTGACCGTCCGCCAGAAGAAGCTGGAAAACATGTTTAGATTAGTAAATATTTGATCAGTTAATTAGTCTTAGATTGACAAATTTATGGATTATATATTGTTTATACAACCAAGTCAACATAATAACTTTGAAGTTAAAGAATAGGAGGTATATGTTTCTTTAATATTTATAAGATTGTTAAAAATGAGTCCAAATAAATAATAATCCTGTTAGGCAAATACTTGGGCATAACCTCCTTTATTTCGGGCTGAAGCCCTCCGCTCTCCCCTCCCCCATCCCCCCCCCCCAAAGAAATGGTAAAATATAACCATGTTTTATAGGAAAAAGTATTAAAAACTATCTCTTAAAGTATTATTGTTCGTGTAATTACATTTAATAAGACTTCAAGAATCACCTAAACACCATGTCATATAGGAAGTTAGTTTTTTTTATTTTTTTCAAATTATTTTTCGTTATATATATATGACAAAAAGAAACTTTCGGGCTGAAGCCCTCCCCGAAATTAAATCCTGGATCCGCTAGTGCTTGGCAGTAAGGTTTGAATAGTGGTTGGTTAAATTATACCCTCATATAATGGTTGACAACAGTGAGATGAACGTGGTTGATTGTCAACCTGGGTCTCATCCAAACCATTAGTTTTTACGATAGCGAGTTCCATCAGCTGTCTCAACTATGTAGGCGTTGGAGTTTGGGTATAGTTCCATGATAGTAGGTGGTATTCAGTCTCGGGGAGATTTGTCTTCCATAACGTGTTCTCCCATTTCTAAAACTTGTTTACGTCTCTTACCATGTTCTCCAAATGTCTTTTGATGGGCTTGCCATTTAACAAGTTCAGGATTTTGGGTGAAGATTATTCACAGTACAAGAAAGTATGTGGTTCGTTATTCTTTCCATTATTTTTTCTGCAGAGAATCCTACATTTCCACGAGGCGTATTCCTGAAATTTCAAAAAAGTAGATACACATCTGAACGTTTAGATAGAACTCTGGGTGCATGCCCTAGATGTGGTATCAAAGTAATTGCTGGAAATTTTAATGCCAATTTAGAAAATCTTTGGATTTTTTTTGGATTAGTCTAACTCCTGTCCAATCGTTTGTTTCAAATCTTACAGTTGGATCCACTAACAGAGCCTCCTTTCCTTTCGCACTAAAGGCCAAGATATCCACCAATCTTGCTGAGCCTTCCGTATCCAGGCAATAAACTTCGTGGAAGCATCTATACTTTTTATTTTTCAGGAATCCTGCTATATAGTGATTTGTATTATTGTCTCATCGGGTGGTAAGGAGCATGATATTCCGACATTTATCCAATACATGAGCTGGGATTTCTGGCTCTCGGCCACATTTGCGGTAAAGAGGTCAAATATCTCCATTCGCCTGGCCTACGGTTCCAATAAGCCCGCGAAGAGCAGCATATTTGACGTTTAGTTTTATTTTTGTCCACTCTGGGCCCATAAGAATTTCCCTGCCATACACAAATTTATTAGTCCATAGGTTTGACTTAAAATGGAGCACACCTATTCCCTGCCATTAACATGTGGTCCAATTCTCAAACGCCTTTTCTCTCAGGAACTGCCTAATTTTCTAACTAATATGAGGCTTCTTTCTATATTATTCGCTTCGATGCCCAACAGATCAGCACACCTTCGAACTTTGTCCCCGAAACCAAAAATCGCCTATTTTTTTTTAAAACTCTTTCCCACTTGGTTTGGAATTCCTTCTATTACTGTGTACTTTGTTTTGGACATGTTGTGGACCATTCCACAAAGTTTATATTATCAGCATAGGCTAACAATTATACAAACCTTTTAAATATGTTTCCTTTTTGTTCATGTAAACCAGCATCTCTTACGGTAATACCAAGTGCTAGGTTAAACAACATTCAAGATAGGGCATACCCTTGATGGAGTCCTTAATCAGCAAAAAATTCCTCGAACGTGTCGTTTATTCTATAGTACACCTCACATCCTTCATGAATATCTTTGCAAAGTGCTTAAGTTCCTCAGGTATTTAATTCTCTAATGGCATTATTCACCTCTTCGTGTATTATGTTACTATATGCTGTATTGAAATCTACGTAAAGGGTGATTTTTGGTTTTATATTAATGATCTCTGTCAAGAATGGTTCACGTATAGAACAGTTAGTTTTGTGTTAGATCTTCCTTTCCTCAATCCACTCTGGCATAGACCGAGTTCATGCTAGGCTTATGGTGATAAATAACTAAATAGAATGTGAGAGAGTATCTTATAGGGAGGTCATGATGGACAAAAGTGTTGAAGTGTCACATTCTCGAGTCTAATGGCGCCGGTTCAAAAGATTTTTAAAAAAATCTTTAAAAAGATACATTTGTAACAAATCCTACCCATTATGGAATCCCCATATCTTTCTTCCCATCCCCATCAATTTGGATCTTGCTCGCAAAATTCCACTGTCCAACAAGTACTCCGAGTTTTTGATCATATTTTCTCAACTCTAGAAAATAAGCAATATTCCTCAGGTACATTTCTGGACATATCACATAATACATTAGGCACGACGCACAGTGGACTTAAACTCGATTTTTTTTTTTTTTTTTTTTTTTTGCATAACTCTGTCCCTTGCTGCTCTCCACCAGAGAGGACCTGCCAAAAGCCTAAATGGATCTCTCCATCTCTTCATTTGTCGGCCTCTCATCCTGTTCCGGTCATTTGGGGTCCATTCGGTGACTATTTTTTACCATTTTTTGTCATTGCATCGCAGGATATCTCCTGCCCATTTCCATTTGCCTTTTCTTATTTGCGAGAGAGTGTCTTTGAGCCCTGTTTCTTCTTTTATCTTCTTGCATCTGATTTTATCTATCTCCTTCACTTTCAAAATGCTTCTCTCGATGCTATTCTGCCACACCTTGATCTTCCTCTCTTGTGCTTTTGTCTATGACCATATTTGGGAACCATAGGTCACCACTAACATAATACATCTATCGAAAACTAGCCTTTTTAGGTCAATACTTATGTTTCCTTTTGTTGTGTACTTCAGAGACCAGAACTTGTTCCAGTCTAATGCTATTCTTTTCTGGAATTCTTTTGTAACTCTGTCTGAAAAAAAAACTAACTGTCCCAACTAAACATATTCCTCCACCTATTCCAGGGTGAAGTTGTTCATTTTTATTTCTTCCCTTGAACAATTGGTTATTAGTTTTGTCTTGTTGTGATTTGGGTATAGACCAATTTTTTCACAAGCCCCTAGAAGGTGTTTTAGAATTTCTCGTAACTGTCGGGAATTGTTAGCAAAAAGTACAATGTCATCTGCAAACCGTAAATTGCTTAAAAATCGACCATTCACCTTTATCCATGCATTTTCCCATCCAAGAGACCAAAACCTCATCTCCAACACCAAAATAAACAATAAGGGAGATAACAGATCCCCCTTGTCTAACACCCTTCTCGACCTGAAAGATTTGACCCTCTTTTCTGTCATTACATATGCTGACATATCTTTGTATAGCTCTGCGATAATTCTCACGTATTTCTCTTCGATTCCTATTATTCTTAAAGCTTTAAGAACACCCGTATGTAGGACACTATCGAAAGCTTTTTTAAAATCGAGAAAACAGAAATACGAGAGAAGTTATATCTGGTTTACTGTATGAATGTGGTCCACAGTTGAAAAACCTTTTCTAAAACCTGCTTGTTCTTCCTCTATACATTCCATGATTCTTTTGGTGAGCCGTTGTTTAATGACACTGGTAAAAAGCTTTGCCATGGTAGAACAAAGGGAAATCGGTCGATAGTTTTCCATATCCTGTTTATTGCCTCTTTTGTGGAGTAGAATTATTTTTGCTGTTTTCCAGTGTTCTGGAATTTCTTCCTTTTCAACAATTATGTTAAATAGTTCTGTAACTTCCCTAATGAGAACTTCTCCTGTTTTTAAAATTTCGTTCGTAATATCATCCGGCCCAGGACTTTTTTCATGTTTCAAGTTTTTTACAATAACAGCAACTTCCTGTTCCATTATTGGTGGGATTTCTTCTTGAGTTTTAACTTCATCTGCCTCTCTATTTATTTCTACTCATTCTCTTCTGATTACATTTATAAAGTTCTCTGAAGTATTCCGTTGCTACCGTTCTTATATTTTTCCTATCAGTTATAACTTCTTTCTCTGTTTTCAAGAGCAACCATCCATTGCCTACCTTTGGACAATTCTTTTTGAATTTTTCTTGTGGAGTTATTGTTTAGAAGAATTTTAGTGACCATATCATTTTTATAATTTTCCAGATCTTCTTTTATTCTTTTCCTGATTTCATTGTTCAGAACCGTGAGAGCTTTTATTTCCTATTCAGTAATGTCTTCTCATTCTTTTATCTTTTTACGAAGTCTTAAAAGTTCTTTCGTACTTTCTAGTAGTTTACTTGGTTTACTCATACTGAACCCAAGGCTCTGTGCCTTTGTGCCTTCAATGGCTTAGGCAATAATACTATACTTTTCCTGAACTGAACTAAGTACTTTTCCTTCTCTACTTTCATAACTATGCTGCAGATTTCTTGTAAGTTCAGCTCGAAATTTTTCTATTTGAGTTGGATCGTGAAGAGGTAAGTGCTTCTTCTTTGCCCTAAATGGTCTTCTTCTTTTATACTTTTCGATGTGTAACTTTGTTCTTAACATCCTGTGATCTGCGTTGAAATTTAGTCTTTGTATGACCTCCACATTTTCGATTAAACTAATTTAATTAGTCAGAAAATAGTCCAACTCAAACCCGTGTCGTTTTGGTGAGCACCAAGTCCATTTTTCTTTATTTTTTCTTTTAGAGAAATAATTTCCAATTTGTAAACGTTGGTTAAAACAAAAATGGATTAACTGGTTTCCTCCTTCGTTTCTTTTACCGTATCCCCAATCTCCCATAATCCTATCTTCACCATCTAGTTTAACACCAGCCCTGCCATTAAAGTTCCCCATCACAATAATCCTTTATTTTGCTTCATAGGAATACGACATCGTAGGAGCATGCACTTGCTTAATAGTTAACTTTTTACTGGAAGTAATTTGTAACACTAACGCGGCTATTCTGCAATTTATTTCTTTAAAATCTATTATCCTGTTTTTTAATTTATTTGATTTAATAAATCCAATTCCAAAAATTCCGTTTTGCGATGGTGTGTGTATGAAAACATTTCCTGATTTCTGTTCCAAAACCAAACAAAATTTCCTTCTTACTTCTGCCAGACCAATGAAATCCCAATTAATATCCTCCAAAGCATGAATGAGTTCCTCTAACCTTTCTTCACTTATCAATGTCATAACGTTTAATGAGAGTGCCTTTATCATTATCCTGAAAGTTAGGATCCTGTTTATGCAATGAACTAGTGTTTAGGGTTTCATTTTTATTATGGTCTCTATCATCTTCTTTATTCGTCACCAAAAATTTGTTCAGACTAATAGATCTATGGTGGGTTTTAGTATCTTTCATTTTTTTCCCTTTATGAGTTGGCTCTGGTTTTTAGAAGCATTTTTCCTGATATTTCACTTTCTTTATCTTTAATCCTTTCTCTCTTTTTTTTTTTTTTTTTTTATGTTTCTTGAGATTGCTATTCCTCTACAAAAAAAATTTGGTCGTTTATAAGAAGCTTGTCGTACCTCAGTGAAACCTATTGCCCTTCTCCCAATATGCTCTCATAAATGGGTTTAATTCTTTCCAAATTTCTCTAACACTCTTTGGCAAGTTGTCTTTTATTTTTATCGTTTTAAAGTCTTCTGATTTGCTCAGTTTAAACTTATTTTTCATAATATCACTTTTTAAGAAAATCGAATTTAACTTAATTATCACTGGACCATTTTCAACTTTAAGTTTCATTTTTCTTATTTCTAATTATCATCAAAGTTTGGTAAAATGTGGTTTAATATTTCTATTACCCTATTATTTACATCTGAATATTTTCCTCTATTTAAACCGAATATAATTATATTTTTGCCTCTGGTGAAATTTTCCTCTCTTTCCCTAAAGTTTTTAACGTTATTGGTTATTTCAGCAACCTGTGTTTTTATCTGTCTAATTTTCCTTTCGTGATCTTTGCTGCTTTCGTCTAGTTTCTTTTCTAAACCTGATATTTTTTCTAACGATATGTTAAATTTCTCTTCTATTGCTGCCATGGTGATTCGAAAATTTAAAACAAACAGTAGAAAAATCAAAAAACAAATCAAATACAGATGTTATTATCGATTACGGATAGATACGTAAGTATTTACGTAGCTACTGTTTGACGATCTAACACAATGAATTGAATAGTCCTACAGCTGAGGTGGAAAGCTGGTCGGAGCTAAACGGTGGGGACGTATCGTCTAATCCTAGAAGAGATCGCAAAGATAAGGGACCCTATTTATCTTCCAAAATTATATTTAATTATAACATTCCTTCTTTTGGTCCTATTTCCTCCAAACTTCGTAATTTACTTCGTAATACACCAAACAACACTTCTGATAAAAATGGTTTAGATTGAACTACGACAAACGATTTTATGAACAAACAACCTGGAGACGATCTTATACACTCAACGGACTGAACCGGACTACATAGTTGTAGAACATCAAATTTCCACGTCCACATGTCCACATATATACATGTCTAAACCCATGTATACAAATTGAAAAATAAAAACTTTTCTCATATTTTTCATAATAGATTTCCCGTTTCGATCTTCAACTTACTGGCCTAAGATTCTTTCAGTCAGCAGCCATTTTTTAAAGCAGAGCCTCTGAAACGGCAAACAAGGTTTTTTTTACGCAGTATAACATACACTTTCGTAATTTGCAATCACACCTCCGCCTGCGATGATGTCGATTTTTTGGGCCCTGACTCCAGGGTTGTTAGACCTTTAGCTTTCAATGGATATTGGTAGTTTTAGTCCAGAGAAGAACGTAAAAAATAGCATTATGTCCACTTTTTTACCACTTTGGACCACTGTGCGCTGGTGCCTAAATGCTTTTCAAGCTTTAAATTCATCTACCCCAGTTCTTACACCTTTCTATCCTACCTTTCTGAGCGCTCCTTTCGAATTCGCTGTGGGATGGAACTTTTGGATTTTTTTTCTTTTCTCCACTATCGTATTTTTATCTTAGTTAGTCAGCACAGACCCCGAAATAGCATCCTTAAATCTACAATAACCTCTCTCTGATTGAACGCAGTTAGTAATTGGCTTATTAAAGTAAATTAATCCAAATGCAAACAAATTACCTTTACGCTTAGACGCAAATCCTTTCCACCAGCTTATTTTGACTCTAATCAGTTTCCTTTCTCAGACATAGTCCGGTATCTTGTTTTTCTCTTAGATAGAAGATCAACGTAGAACTTTCATACTAGACTTGGAAGAAATGAGCTTAAACGACAAAACGACAACTATATAGACTACTAAATAGAGAATCTCAACTTTATATTGACAGCAAATCAGATTTACAAGACAAACCTGAAATCTATTTGGACTTATAGACTAGAACTGTGGGGAACAGCAAAATTTTCTAACATCAAACGCATCTAATCTTTTACCTTTCAGTCCAAAGTACTTCAAACAATAATCTGTACTCCATCCCAAGTTGCCAGCAAAATCCTTATGACTCCAAATATCACCAGAATCTTAATCATCATCCAAATCAACCAGCACAATCTCTACCCACCCTCACAGTGCTCCTTGAAGATTGAAACGGTAGTGACCCCAAGACTTTGTGAATATAAGTATATATTGGAGTTCCGACAATTACTAGATTCTCTACTCAAGCCACGTACGTTTGTGGTTAGAACGCCTTTGCTCAGCCTCCACTGGCTATTAATACCAGTGATGCGACTGATAGAGAGGAACTGGGATGTCCTAGAATCCTGTTTTCTCTACAATAGTAAGGGTATGGCTTGGCTTGGAATTTCCTTGTATGTATGTTTGTTAATATTGTATATAAGTACCTGTATTCAAGTTGTTATTTTGATTAATTTAACTATAAGTTTTTTTTTTGTTGTTTTTTTTACAGATATACTTAATTTAATATTATTTTGCTGTTATTCCCTTTCATTTATTTATTTGTATGTAAATATGGTGAGAAAGAATTCTTCTCTCATTGTTAACTGATGTCCTTAATTGTGACAGATTGTAATATAACTGAATACAGAAATTTAAAAAATGTTTATTATTTAACACAACTATTTACTTATATTGCCGTAATAGTTGTTCTTTTCTTCAAAGCTTTCGCCGTAATGCATTAATTACTGGAATCATAAGTTGAAAAAGCCACAGTTTAATATTTTTTTCTAAAAATTGTATTCACAAAAAGTTTACGATGTTCCTTGTCAAGTAGCTAAGAGAAAAACAGTTCTGGAATCGATCATGACGTCTGTTATAATCGACGTATCTTGAAGAATTCGGAATATACTCTTTAATCTTGGAAGTTTGTGTTTATTGTGTTTATAAGTCACGTTTCTTCCATCGTTTAAATTTTATTGTAATCTAAGAAAATAATATTGTTTAAACTATATAGATGGAGGTTTGTGCCCAAAGAGTTAAAGAAAAACGACGGTAAGATTCTATTTAGAATATTTCTTTCTTTTAACTAGGTCATTGCTCTCAAGATTTAAATATTACTAGAAACTTTATAGCAATGTTAGTTACTAATTTTAGTTAGATATTTAATAGATAGACAAGTAATTGTCATTATGAACAATGATCATAATAATTTTGTCCTTAGTTGATGCAATTTTTTAACATAGTGATGTGTTAAGTGCTTTATTAATATCATTACAGTAATATTAAGAAGTTAAATTTGTTTATTGCATTAATATTTTCAATATAAAGCAAGGAATGTTTAGGCTATGATTGAACTTTAATTTGATGTACTGTTCTTTAAGTCTGTTATTAACTTCTTAATTGTGGATCTTTTTCATTTTGTCTGAATAATGCAAGTTCTTGTATTTATTTGTCTTAAGATCATCATTGCCATGTCATTAATTAGGTCCTGGTTTATTTTTTCCATGGATCATTAATTTAATTTTAATGTTAATTAGTTATATAGTGTTTTCTGTATGTTGTATTTTTTTTCAACACATCCCATCATTAGTAATTTATTTAGGTATTATATAGTAGTAAATACCTATAACTTACTTTTGATTAAAATATGCTCAGTTTCTTAGAAAATATTCAAGGTCTCTAGTAATTACACAGTCTTTAGTAATAGTTATTTTTTAAATTTTAACTATCATTGACTTAAAAAATTAATCCATATTCTTTAGTAAGAGATAGTTCTGTTGTCTAATGAGTCCCATCGTAAAGTGCTATGAGAATAACTAAAAATTGCAAGATTTCTGTCACTATTTTTAAACTAATTATATTAGAACTATATATAATGATACTAATAGGTTTTATAATATAGGGGTTTAAAACTTGCAAGGTTGTGAAAATTATTCCTTTAGTATTCTTGGATATATTTTTCTCTTTTTTGTTATTTATGACATTAACAGGTGTATATTTTTATTTCATTTCATTTCTGACATTGTATAAAAACTGAATATATGTTTTTTTTTTTAGCCTTATTTGATTGTAATTTTCCATTTGTAAATAATATTGTAATTTGTTTTATTGACCTTGGCCATGATCTTATAATTGCTCTTTCAGTGCTCTGGTTCACTTTTGTAATATTTTTGTTGCTTAATTTGTTTATTGAACATTAATATAGCATTACAGTTTGAATAATTTTTATTTTCTTAATGCTACCCCAACTTTCTGCCTTCAATTTTATTCGTTAACAATTGAGTACCAAAGAGGTTATCATTTAAGTGATAATATTATATGTATAATTAATGATGTCCAATCTAAATTTACATGGTGTTATCTTATTGGCATTTGAATTTTATAACTCAACGAATATAAGACAAGTTTTGTTTAAACACAAATTATGTTATTAGATATATTTATCTGATATTAATTAATTTTCTTAATCTTATTGCTCATATTCAATAAAGTTGAAATTTTTAATTGTTTATAGTCATTATTTATAAGGTTCCTCATCTTTAAACTTTATAGAATAGCTTATTATTTTTGTATTATAAAATCTATGGCTCAGTTTATTGTGCCTTAGTTGAAAATTTATTGCATGTATATTTTTTTTCTAGAAATATTAGTACAAAACTTTTTTTTTTTTATAATGATTAAATTACATACTTTCAGTAGTGGTACATAGTCATTTTGCATTTAGGTTTGTTTGTTTGTTTATTTCTCTATTTCAGGCATATTCAGTGATTTTATATGAAATACAAGCAGTTTATCTACCCAGCTAATTGATGTGTAAAGAACTGATAATACTTCAAGTAAAGATTTCATCCATTTAAATCCAACAAGAATAAATTTCTTTCAATTTTAAATAATTATCGTCTTTAATGATTGATAAATTACTTAAATCTTGCTATTCATCCTTAAAATTTATATTCAATATTTTATTAACAGTAGTCAAGTGGACTATGCAAGTAATGAATTACAGTAGTATCTTGATTACCTAGCGGAATTGTTGACAGGATCGTCTGGGCTACTAACCAGATTACAGTACATTGCATATTAAACATTTGCAAACCTGTACACTGTTTGAATTTGTGTAAACATAATATGTATTTAAATATATATATTAGTTTTGGGTAGACTGTAGTTTGAATGTGATTAGTTGGTAGCCCAAGGGTGAACTCTTGCAGAATTATGTTCAACATAACAATTTCTTTTTTCTAAGCCCTCCAACATTATTTTCAGAAGATTAGAATATCCTCTTTCAATATATGTATAAATTTGTGAATGTTTTGTCAGTAACATCAGAGCTTTAATTAAAAAAAACAAAATATAGGTTTCAACTTAGTTCCTCATGAGCTCGCCCTCAAGCTACCAACTAATTGGATTCGAACTATATCATAATATGATTTGGAGAAGAGCTCATGTGTATAAATATAATCAATCTAAGAGGAAAATAAGGGGCGGCGAAGCATGAGCCCAGTCCATTCAGTCTTTGGTGTCATTGATCAAGTATCCTGATTATCTAGATTCTGCTGTTGACACAATTTTATTGTTTTTTATTTTCACTTACCTATATATGAAATATATAGTAAGGGACAGTATTGCGATTGTGAAAATCTGAGTTTTAAACGGAAATACATGTTTTGACATCTCTTGAGTCGTAATAAGCAAGTTCCACAAAATGGTGTGTGTGTGTGTGTGTGTGCAGGTGTCAGTATGTATGTGACAGGTCAAGTTCAAAAATGAATAGTCGTATGAAAGTGAAATTGCATATTTAAGGTTTGCATATACCTGAGATGTTACAGCACCCTTTTTCTTCAAAATCGGCTAACGAGAAGTGGCACTTTATATCTTTGATGAAACATATTTTTACTATTTTCTCAAAAACGGCTCCAACGATTTTGATTAAATTCATCATATCAGTGTAACATTGTGTCGTTTTTAATATTATTTAGATTTTATCCTCATTTATGTTCTCTAACAGGGCTTAAATGGCTAATTTTCAATATTAGCTTCCTCTAAAGTAACTTTAATTCTTTTTATTTGAAACAATTAACCATTTCACATTGATCTCTAATATAAAAAATATTTAAATATCAAAGAATTTGATTATTAACTAAAGGAGAAATAAGAGATCGTAAGGGATAATAGTTGTAATGAAGGAACCAAAGAAATACGAACGTGACCGAGCTGGCACGAAGATTAGAACAGGCTTCCTTAGTAACACGAGCTTAGTATAATATGTACTCCGACAATATTATGTACATATACATAGGCAGATTTTCTAAATGTTTTCGTTGGTACTATTTAATATTTAATTGTATATATTACAGCGATATAAATATTAAAATTTGAATATATAAGGGTACTTAAACAAATAAAAATATCCACAATGAGATATAAATCAATATAACATTTATAATTTTTACTTTCACTTCCCCTTTGCCTCAAAATACTTTTTCTGCTATAAAGAGGGTGCTAAATGAAAGTTTGGTGATGTACTCCCCGCACCAGATTTTTATATTTATGACTCATCTTTCATTAATTTTACCTGATAGTCTGGTAAATTTAATGGGAGAGAGGGGGCAGAAACAGCGGGTCTATGCATGACTGACATTTTGTGGGTTTGATTTTTTAATATTTTCTTAGCAGGAACTGGATTAATGTATATTAAAATGTTGTTTTCCTAAACCTTCTTTAGAAGATTATTATTTAATATGTGTAAAATTTATATGTTATTTTACATTTAATTCGGTTCCTTAAATTATTACTCAATTTTTAATCGTTCATCTATATGTATTTTTATTTTATTTTTCAGAAACAGTGAAAAAAGAAAAGAAAAATCCAGAGATGCTGCAAGATCAAGGCGAAGTAAAGAAAGCGAAATATTTTCAGATCTCTCACAGGTTTTGCCTGTTCCGTCTACAGTTGCATCCCACTTGGATAAAGCTTCGATTATGAGACTTGTTATTGCTCATCTTCGGATAAGAGAGCTTTTTAAATCAAGTAATAAATAATTTTGTTATATTAAGTATTATACTTCATGTATGCGTATAGCTTATCACAGCAGGGGTATTCATGCATTTCTTGAAAATTCTTAATGTACTATCATGTTAAGCAGTCAGCATAAATTTTGAATGAATAGTAAATAACCTGTATGTGCTAACGGGCTATAGTATTATTAATTATAGTAAGGTTATGCCTCTACTGTAAACAAAGTTTGTGAGTTCTTAATTGATTTACTAACGTTTTTATTTATTTTTAAAATATCAAAGCGAAGTGAAAAGACTGAGTTGATGGATTATTTGGTTAAAAAATGCTTTATTAGAAAGCATGAATGAAGATTCAGATGTTTCAGAAGGCAAAGAACTTGATGAATATATAGATGAAACCCTAGCTGTCTTTACATTCCATTTCTGTGGATATTGCACACATAAAAAACAAACACGTCAAAACCTTACTATAACCTTTTCTGGATATTTACAAACTTAGCAACACTTTACAGGGCCATAGGCTGCATTAAAATCAAGAGTGCTAGCGACCATATCTAACACCCATTTCATAAATAATTTTCTAGACTACACATTTAAGAGATTTACAATATTTAACACTGGTTGCATGAATACCCCTAATAAGGTGCTCCCAAAGCTTTTAATTTTTTTGTTGTTGTTTTTTTTTTCCTTTATAGCCCTTTACTCTATTTCTATAGTTAAGACATTTAGTTTATATATTATGATAATATTTAATTTATAAGTGATATTTAATATTTGTATTGTTAACTTTAATGACAAGGGCTTGGATTTAAAGCAGACGTGCATGGGTTCACAGCCTAGCTCAAATATGAAAAGTTCTACAAAACTGAAATTGCGTATTTAAGGTTTTATATGCCTGGGATGTTACAGCAACATTTTCGTCAAATTCAGAAAACTGGAAGTGCTACTTTATATCATCGATTTAACATATTTTTACGATTTTCTCAAAAATAGCTCTTACGATTTTGATTAAACTTTATATGCTAATCTATAATTAAGTGTTTTTTTAATATAAGGTAGGTTTTATCCTCATTAGTGTTCTCCAACAGGGCTTTCTCTAAAGTACCTTTAATTTTGTTTGTTTTTAAAAGTTGTTCAAGAACTCATGGAGAAATAAGCGATGGTATTGAGGGATCGAGAATTGAAACTCATACTCACTCGGGGTAATAGGGTGATAATGAGGAGCCGAGGAAAACCCAAGCATGCCCTCAAGCTTTGTGGACGTGTTCTGATTATATTATTTACTTATACACTTAAAGTTTTCATAAATGCTAGTGCTGGTTTTATTTAATATTTAAATGTATAAATTACAGCAATTTAATACTCCATTGGAAATTCCAGTCCTGTGATAAAACACCAGAAGTTGAATTGAACTTAAAAGTAGCAGAGTTCGATAACCTACTCGCTTAATGAATAAATTTTTAACTTACATTTTTTATTTATCATTAAAATAAAGTGTATGATCTATTTCAAAATCATACTTTTATGTAAGAATTGGTAACTATGTTAAAAATTTATATTTAAAAATTTTATTTTTTTTAAACCAGGTAAATCCCCTTAGAATTAACAAGAATATATGTATACATCACATAAAGACCAAAGGCTAGGTTAAAGAGGACATTAAATTGATGAATGCTTATTTTAATCAGGACTGATTCATCCATATTATCAACTTAGACTAAAAATGTTCATGGGCAGCATTATGGGCTTTTATTTTTATTTTGTTTTTTAAGTAAACCTGTATCATCACCATATATTGAACCGGAAAATAAAAAAAAAATTTGAAATATATCAATCGCAAATATGGTTAGTTTCATTTTCTGTTTATGGGTATCCATTTATTTTTGTTTAATTAAAATTGTTAAGATTGATGTTTGCTAAAGTAAATTTTAAGCATCATTGACAACATTTGTTAAATTGTTAGTTTCATGTAGAATAATGTAGTGTGTAGTGTTAAATATTTTCAAACCTGTGTGACTTTAAAATATTTTAACTTGATATCTTTGTTGTTTAGGTCCATCAGATGAAAATAAATCATCTCAAGATATCTATGATAGTTTATACCTTAAAGCCCTGGGTGGTGTCATTATTGTACTATCTATGGATGGTGAGATAATATATGTCTCAAACAATGTACCTTTGTTTCTTGGGGTTTCACAGGTTAATATTAATGTCTTATTTATTCATTTTTTATTTAAGATTGCAATATGTTCAGTGTTTCAAATTAATAATTACCCAAAATATTCATTTTTTTTTTCTCCTAGGTTGATCTTCTTGGGCATAGTATTTATGATGTTAGTCATCCTTGTGATCACTCTGAAATCAGGGACCTTTTGGCAGGAAAGGCTAACTCAGAAGGACAGTTATCTGTTTTTGTACGCATTAAATGTACTCTTACAAACAAAGGAAGAAATCTTAACTTAAAATCTGCCTCTTATAAGGTACAATTTCATAACATAAAATGTTTATATTCATATATATATATATATATATATATATATATATATATATATATATATATATATATAATACACACACATAAGTATATACACATACAGGATGTCTCAGTTCTTATTGGACAAACTCTGGGAGGTGATTCTAGACAATATTTCTAACAAAACATTTCATTTGATGTATGAGCCAATTTCGAATGGAGGAGGAATTAAGTCCAATTTTGTCTTTTCTTAAAGTGGAAATCAATTTTGGAAGACAAAATTTTATTAAAATGCAAGTAGAGTTTCCCTTTGTCTCCAGAGCTGCTTTTGGACTTTTGAGCAGCCAAACTGCATTAAGTTGTGTTTATTATTAAATCACAGATTATATGCGATGCTTTTTATCATCCCATAGATATATCACTTTTATAAAAACTTCCTTGTTTAATAATCTTTAATTGCATATCAATTTGAGGTTTGTTTTAGAATAGAGTCAAGATTTACTTTCATTTGTGTGAAAAATTATACAATATATATCTGTATAAATTGATCCTTATGGTGTCAAGTAATTAACTAGATGTTTTTAACCCTAATATTTATGTTTGCGGGAATAAACATTTTAGTGTTTCATTTTTTTTTTTTTAGAAATGTTAATTTACAATAATAAGCTATTTCTTTCAGTTGCTAATGAAAGCTGCTTTTGTATGGAATATTGAACCATTTGCAAATTGAAGTAAGGAAACTCTGCTTCCATAGAAAAATATTTTTTTCTGAAAAACTAAAATTTACAAGAAATGGAATATTTTATTTTAGAAATAGCCATAATTTAGAAAATGGAAATCCTAATGCTATATTAACCGGGTCTATATTTTAAACGAAAAACGCATTGTATAAATTAAAATTTATAAAAATGAATCGCTAGATTTTTATTCACATCAACATAAATATTAGGATTAAAAACACATAATTAGTTACTTACCCTTTTACATGTCGTTGTTCCAGAAGTGGATCATATTTTAAACAATTCTTTTTGCCAACTTAATTAATTATTATTTTTTTGCAAAAACAATTTTTTTCCCATCAAAGCAAAGGTTGACATAAATTTTAAATATTTTTCAATAAAGATTTTATCACTTTTAGTTCGGTAAATAAAAAGTTAAAGTTTCTGATTTTTTTATTGTTGAGAGGTGTAGTGATTATTTTTATTTTGTTTTAATAATACAGCAATGAAATTTAATTTGAATGTTGGTTTAATTGATTGTGATAGATTTCTGAAAATAATGCATTGTAGAAAATGTAAATAAAAAAATTCTAAGAATCAGTTTTACTAATTTTAATTTTAATGTTCCACATATGGCATGACAGGTTCATGCTACAGGAATGTTCGTTCTATTCATTGTTTTGTTAGTACAAAACTGAACGGGGAAATTTCATAGAACTACTAATTGCTATTCTAAAATTTTCAATTTTTTTTATGATTCCTTACCAATAGAGAAAAACTGCATAATTTTTTGTTAGTCCCCATCATCCTTTGGTGTTAGTTTTCTCAGTCATTACTCTGTTCTTGGCATGACTGTATCGCTTTTCTTACTCACATTTTATAATAATTAAGTATTTTATTTGTGGCATTTTTTTTTTTATCATCAATAATTAAAAATGGAAAAAAATATTTCCTACTGTTGAAGAAGCAGTGGAATATTTGAATTATCTAAAGTCGTTGAGTGTTGGTGAATCGGAAAATAGTTCTGATGAAGAAATTGATAATATGCCAGCTGATGAAAACGAATGCCTAACAGAGGAAGAAGACATTGACGAGAATTTTTTGGAGCAAGTCCCAAGGATGTTTATGGCCAAGTTGCATTATTTATTTTTTTAAAAATACGGATGATAATGATACTTCTGACGATCGACCTTCTTCTTCCCAAGACAAGCCTTTTTCTTAAATTGGTGGCTATGAATGCGGGCTTTACCTTGGAAAGATGGTCCACGATCCAATAACTTCCATCCCTCCTAGCAAGCGTAAGACAGATAGGTGTGTTCATTGTGGCACCACAAAATATCAATGCAAAAAATGCCAGAAACGCATTCATATTGATTGTTTTCCCCAATATCACTGATTGTAAATCATATATTAGCATAACAAAATTTTTTTATTCATGTATTCGTATGATTTTTTCATTATTTTACAAACAGTTATAATGTTTTACTATAATATAATTTTTTTTTCAATATTAATAAAAACAACACTATTCTTGCATTGAATATTCTAATAAAAATATTAAGAAGAAAGTTCTTTCTTTTTCTTTGTATAACCTGAACATGCCATTGTTCCACTTCCGGAACAAGTTGAAAAACGACAAAGGGAATTTTTTTTTTAAGTATTATCTAAACTGAACCATATTAAGATCAATATTATAGAAAAAATCTACTGGAATTAGGGGCAGCGTGCAAAAGGTTAATACTGTAAGCAGAGTTGAAGTGGTTTTATCCTTCCTACTGGCGTAAGTATTTCCTGGCATCCTTCCTTTATCAAGTCATCCATTCCCACCACCCTTCATACATCTCCGAGCTCCTTCTATTCAAACCCTCTGTTCGCTCCCGCAATCCTTGTTCCCGGTCTTCTGATTTATACATAATGGCCCATGACCACCGAACCGCTACTTTCGACAGACAGTTCATTATCCGATCCTCATCCCTATGGAACTCCATCCCTTCCCATATCCGTCAATCCAATACCCTTCCTACCTTCAAATCCCGCCTGTTCAGTTATTTCTTATCCATCCAGTCTCCATCAAATTTTAAATGGATAATACTGTAAATATTTATATTAATTATTAGAAAGTAACTTATATTTTTTGTATTATGACTATTTAATTACTCTGTATTTTTGCTTATGTATCTCTAAGGCTCCTTAGCCCACATTTCTGTCTCTGTATTATTCTAATGGGACTAAATTAATATTATTATTATAATAAGGACCCATTTCTAAAATAGATATCTGTATTATAAATAACAGTTCATTTTCACCTTATGTAATAATTTAAAAAAAAAAACAGTATTTTTTTAATGAATAAAAAGTATATTTTCATAATTAATTTACTAAAATATGTCAGGTCACAAGAAAAAGAAGAAATTAAAACTTAAAATTTCTCGGTTGTTATTTTTGCTGAAAATACATATACTCTGGAGTGACGAAGTATTAAATCACATAATTCTTCACACAAATTAAAGTGAATTTCTACTCTATTATATAACAAACCTCAAATAAATTGATATATAATTAAAGCTTGTTAAACAAAGAAGTTTTTATAAAAGTGAGGAACCTGTTGGATGATAAAAATAAAAATATTAGCAAATGATCCATGATTTAATGAAAAACACAACTTAGCGTAGTTTGCCTGTTCAATAATCCCCTTTATATGATTTTAACTAAGAAACATTCTAGTTACATTTGAAGAATTTTTTTTCTATTTTACTATGAAGCAATTTTTAATCATTGGAAATTTTGTCTAGAATCGCTTCCTGGAGTTGTGCTCTTAAGAATTGAGACACCCTGTGTGTAAATATGTATGTATTTATATATATACACACACACACACACACACATATATATATATATATATATATATATATATATATATATATATATATATATATATATATATATATATATATACATATATATATATATATATATATATATATATACCTATAATAATATATATTTTATTTAATTTAAGGTCCTTCATGTCACTGGAAATTTCATTGATTCTACTGAGGGTAAAGACAAATTTAGATTTGTTACTATAGCGCATCCTATACCTCATCCAGTGGATATAGAAGTTCCCTTAGGAACTTATACTTTTCTTAGTAAACATTCATTAGACATGAAATTTACATATGCTGATGAAAGGTAATTTAGTATAAGTTAATATTACTGATTTAGTTATAGTTCCCTATATATATTCCATTAATCCAACCTTTATTAATCAGAACACTTAAATAAAAATTCTACATCAAAAACTGTTTTGTTTTTTCTAATTAAACTTTATTGTATTACATTGTGTGATGTTAGCATGTTCCCTTCTTCTTCTTTTGCTTCTCCCTTTTTTGCCTCTCAGCATAGTTAAATGCACAGCCATAAATTCCATTCCTCTATGTTGGCATAGATCTTTATATAAAGATAATATTATATTATTAAATCTAATATTGGGTTGGCAAATAAGTCCTTTCGGTTTTTCAGGGTGAAATAAAACGCAATGTATTATAGACATAAAATTTATTTTAATATACTATGTATTGACCATTATTTAATATGACTTTTCCCCATCTTTCCGCTAACTGTGGTTTATTTATAGTGCCATTTCCATAGAAAGTCTGGAGTTTATTGTTAAAAAAACTGATCCAAGTGGTTTTTGATGTCCTCTTCCTTTTGGAATTTCTTTCCATTCATAGAGTTGTGCAGAGACTGGAATAAGTGGTAGTCACTTGGAGCTAGGTGTGGTAAATAGGGTGGGTAGGGCAAAATGTCCCGTCTGAGGCTCAATAATTTATTGCGTGTGACCAATGAGGTGTGGGGAACAAAAAACATTTCCATTTGTAATTTGTTTACGAAGGCCCTGTTGATGTCATTTTGTGTAGTTTATGAGGCCCTAAATTTCTTGTAGATAGCTAAAGTCATATTGAGGTTATAACATTTTTTTGTGATTTTCAAAAAAATCATGTGAGGAACCCAAACATTAAGCCTGGAAACATAGCCGAGCTTGTGCAAATAGTTTGCTATGCTTGTGTGCGACTCATTTAGGGCCATAGCAATCTCTCGCACTGATCGTGTGGCATTTTGATCAACAATGATTAACATTGCTCGTTTCAATTTCATGTGGGCGACCAGACCATTGAGCATCATTGATGCCAAAATTTCTTGAATGAAATTGAGCAAACCAATTTTGATAGGTGCGTTCGGTTAAGGCATCATCCCCATAAACACTGCAAATTTTTCTATGAGCTTCTGCAGCACGCTTACCTTTTTTAAAATAATACAACAAAATATGCTGATAATGAATGATATTTTCTTCCATATTCTGAGTGCAATAGCAAACACAATACTAAGCTAGTTTCAACAAAAGCTAATGGATATAGTTATTGACATATTACAAACAAGATGAACAATCCATCTTAGGGATTATTTATCAAATAAGAAGTGTATCATAGTGACACAAAAATAAACAGAATAACCAAAAGGACTTATTTGCCAACCCAATATAATGTACCATCTAGGGTAATATAAGGCATTTAAGCCTGTTAACATGGTTAATGTTCTTGAACAAGACATTGTAGTTATGTATTTTGATTTTTGACATCCAGGAGAGATAGCCATGGACCTTAAAGATAAACCCAATACAGTTGAGTTTATTGATAAAAAATTTGATGAAGAAATTCTTTATAGTTAAATACATTTTTCTACTAGGTGGGTCATGGAAGTAATGCACTTTCATAAAGTACTTTACTTGAAAATCAATGTGGTATCTGTGTTGCCGCTTATCAATAACAAATCCTCTCATCCTAATCATCTTAAATCCTCATGCCCCTGCACCTTGATGTATAACTATTGTAACCTCAATTTTTAGTAAGATTATATCAAAGCCTTGATATTTTGCATTATAAAAATAGTACAAGAATTATTGATTAACATAGCTTTGCCAACTACACAAACTTTTAGTACATGGTATGGTACGTTCTTGATTCAAGAAATTTTATGAATCTCTTACAAATATAAAAGTTCTTATAGGAATGGCATCACTGTGTAGTATATTATATTTCAGTTTTCTTGTATTTAAAAATATAATAATTAATAAAATAATCATTTTATAACTAATTTTAATCAAATTGACAAGTGTAGTTGGTTTTAAGTCATAGAAATAAAAATCTATATTCCACATACAAAACAATTATTAGTTAAAGGAAGTTAGTCGACTGTTCTTCATATCATGAGTGATAAATAGTCAGGAAGCAGTCATTTTTAAGATTTTTATTGTTACCGACGTTTCAACCTCAGCTTGTGGGCCATCATCAGGACATGTTACCAGCACCGATGATGACCCACAAGCTTAGGTTGAAACCTCGGCAACAATACAAATCTAAAAATGATTGCGTCCTGATTATTTATCACCCATTAAAACCATTGATAACTTTTTATATTGAATTAGAATTTAAATTAAGTAGCTAAATGTTTTTTAAGGTTCTGGTGTCCTCAATTTGCCAGTTATCTTTAGAAATAATCTTTATTTGTTCTAACCGCAATTAATTTCAAAACTTGTTCTGTGTCCAACCTGACATTTTGATTTGAAACAAGAAATCGTGAAACATTTAAAGAAAAGTAAGTTTCCTGATCATAAGGAGCTCTCCCATGGTTTTGTCATAAAAATCCATCATGTTAAAATATTTAGTTTCACAACTTATCAAAATACTCATTTATACAGTTTAAGTTTCTTGACCAAACTGAGTTTCTTCAAGAAACTTAACCATGCAACCTGGCCTTAAGGTACAATGTTACTATCACCTAGTGTAATATATTTAGAATTATATGCAACAGAGAAAATTTTCTTTTAGTTCTGATTACTTGTAAAATGTTATCAGTTTACTCAATTAATATATAAATGTTCATAATTTAAATAATTTTCAAAGAAAATAGAAGTATATCAATATTGAATGCCTAAAAAAAATTATTTGAGGACTAAAAAGTATACTTTTATAATTATTATTACTAAAAACTATTTTAATATAATTTAAACCTTATTTTAACTGTGATTTAAATATTTCTGACTCTTTGTTTTGTTGTTTAAGGATGTCTGAAATCCTTGGCTATAACCCTGAAAGTTTAATTGGAAAATCTTTGTATAATTTTCATCATGCCCAGGATAATAAGGATATTGAAAGGGCATTTAAATCATGTAAGTGCATGTACAAATTTATTTTTAAAATATGTTCTATTTCTTTCTCTTATTTCCTTTTATGAGATTGTAACCTGATAATAAGAACATGAATGGGTGTGCTTATATTTTATGTATGTGCATGGTGTGTGTCACAATCTATTATAATCTGTTTTATTTTGATATTTAGTGTTTGCAAAAGGCCAATCTGAAACAGGACATTACAGATTTCTCGCTCAAGGAGGTGGATTTGTTTGGGTTTGTACTCAGGCTACCGTGATTTATTGTGAGAAAGGAAATAAACCTCAGAGTGTCGTTTGTGTCAATTATGTTGTCAGGTAAAGTTTTTTTTAAATTTTATTAAACAAAGTTTTGAAATGTTTTTTTTAATATTTATAAATTGATATCATATACTCAGTTACTACTTTATGAAAATAATTATACATTACATTTCATATATGCAGTTCACAATGAAAATTTGTTGGAAACCTTTAAGAGATATCTCAAAATTGGAGCTCTCGTTGAGATTTGTAAGATGCATAATTTATTAATCCCAAAAAATCTAATTTTAAGGATTAAGTGCTCTTTTTAATGTCGGTGTTTCCTCTTTACTCCTCATTTTTAGGTACTTGTGAGCGACGCGGCCTCTATGGACTGCTATCTGCAGTTATCTTGTTATTTAAAGTATTGTTGTTATTTATATTTCTTACTATTAAATTACTATATTATTATTATATTTATATTTCTTATTAATATATATGTTTGTATGTATGTATGTATATATATATATATATATATATATATATATATATATATATATATATATATATATATATTAAGGGGGCTGGGGTAGCCGTACGGGCTAAGGCGCTTGCAACAATAGGTAATCAAAGTTTAGCAACATCGAGCTTGGATGGGTCACTGCCCGATTCGGGTAACCGTCCACCAGGAAAAGCCATGCTGCCCGGGTATGTGAGGCCCGTCAGCCTACTGGAGGCAACTCACACCGACCGGGCGTAGGACTGATGACCCTACCCCGTGTACTTAAATCAGGAATCGGGATGTGGTTTACCAGGATGTTAATAGCCCCTCTGAGGTTCGGTCCATGGGAGGTCTGTTTCGGGGAAAGAAATATAGGTCCTCGTGCGACTGCTGACTCCGAGCAGCCATAATCCATGGATCTAGACCGATTTGTCACTGTCCTTGAACCCGAGAAAGTCGATGGGAAGGACATTGCCAGATCGGCTATGGAGCTACGGGTGGCCTGCCACTGCACCATGGAAACCATGGTTTGTAGCAACGTGAGGTTAGGTGACCACCTCCAGGCTATCTGAGCTCCGGCAAGTATCACACGTCTGTAAGGAGACCACATCTCGCGGCCAAAGATCTTCATGGTCTGTAATGCTAACCGAAAAATATATATATATATATATATTAATAAGAAAGAGGCAACACCAAATATATTTATATTTCTTATTATACGAGAGTCTAATTTCATATGAAGATTGAGATTATCAGTGCCTTATAACAATTATCAGTGTTCAGGTAATTAACATTTAATAAGAAGAAATATAAATAACCACAACAACATTTTAAATAACAAGAAAACTGCAGATAGCAGTCCATAGCAGCCGCGTCGCTCACAAGTACCCATTTTTAATACATTTTTGAAGACTGCTCAAAAATAAAACGTGTACAGTAAGATGTTTGAACTTAAGGACAGCGGGTAAAATTTAGTTTTTGATGATTCCATGGTGGATACACTGTTGGTTCACTACTCACTACTCTCGTGCAGTTAGGTTTTATTTATTTTCATTGCTTTTTCAAAATTCTTCTTTTTATGAAACTTTTGCTTGTACCTCAAGAGTAGTGTGCCGCAAGGTAGTAGTGCAGTACATGCCTACACAAAGCACGTGTATCTACCACAGAATCACCACAAACTAAATTTTACCTGCTGTCCCAAAGTTACCCCATCTTATGGTATTTTATTTTATTTTTTTCTTTGTTTCACCTACTATTTTGGAATAAAATGGCAGTCAAAATGTTACTTATTTTCATTACGTATATTCACTTACATTTCTATTAGTCAAAATCAAGATCAAAATTTCATTATTTCACTAAGAATTGAACTTGAAGAAATTTGAATTATGTCTTTTTCATCTTGTCCAGGTAATGTTAGAATGGCTTGTACATGAAAAAAATTTCAAGTCCACAGGATTTAAATCTAGAAATCCTGTAGGCCATGAGACATGACCTCCCTTCCTATCCAGCAGTTTAGAAAAGATCCGTCTATTGCGTTTCAATGTGCTATCAAGAAATGTGCAGTATACCTGTGGAACCTCAGACCTGTGGAAAAAGACATCATGTGGAACCTCAAGTCTTTTATATCTGTCGCACCTGTGAATAGTGTGTTAAGTGTGCAAATCAAAAGAGGCAGGTTAGCTGAGCGGACTAATGTATATGCACAGCACCATGCATTGCTTGGCAACTCGGATCCAAGATAATTAACCAAAATAACTTTTTAAGAACTTTTTGGTTTGGTTGGTTCCGACACGGATATTTTTCAGCATAATGCATTGCTGCCTCCTTAAAATTTTCATTACTCATCCTAAGGACTTACACCATATCCACCATTCAACTCAGAGTAAACATGATAATAATCACTTACAGAGTGGCTGGTATTCAACTACTGCACTTAGATCTTCCTTTCTTATCACAAATTTTGGATTATTCCAGTTCTTATTATCTTCCCATCCTCTCCAACTAAAATAAACTGAGGTCTTTATCGTTCCATATTTAAAGATGAGCACATCAATGTAAACATTATAGTTCAATTCTTATTAAAAACAATAAAAAAAAAATTCTTGTTTTTAACTAATAGAAATATACATAATATTGGACAATAATGTACACATAGGAGGGGGTAAGTCAAAAAGTAAAGGGAAATTACAAAAATCTATATATTTATTGTACATACATAAATGATACTAGCATTACTTTTCAATACAATCCCTGCCTACTTCTTTGCACTTAATCCATCTTCTAACGAGCATTTGAATACCTTTCTGGAAGAAGGCTTTCAGCCTTGTGTTCGGAAAATTTTGCAGCGCTTCAATGAGCCAAAAATATGAAAATCACTTGGAGCCAAGTCGGGACTAAATGGTGGGTGGTCCAGCAGCTAAAAATTGAGATTTTGAATGCACAGGACTGTGTTTTTGGTCTTATGAGAACAAGTATTATACTGAAGCAAAATCGCACATTTTTAAAGTTTACCGTATCTTGTGGATTAGATTTTTTATTTAATAATTAGCCCAGTCACTATTTATTGTTGTACCTTTAGGTTTGAAGTCAACCAAAATTGGACCTTCCATGTCCTTGAATATTGTCATTATAACCTAAAGCCTACCTACCAGGCTTTTGTTCCTTGCACAGGAAATTCCTACCACTTTGAAAGTGGTATCCATCCATTATTAGATCTTGTTTCCACTCAAACAACTATCTCCATATTTGCTGCTATATGCATTCAACAAATGTTCTCTGTTGGTTTTACACCTAAATTGGAAATGTTAGAAATCTAAGTAAGTGTAAAACAATGAATTACCAAACAAGTTTTTATATTTCCATTGAAAATTCTTTATTTATTGGCAAAATATCTGAAGATTGTTGCTGAAAGTGGTTACTAGAGTGCTCTGATCACTTAAAAACCATTTTAATTGAATCTGTATGAAAAATAATTCAAAAGTCATCTTTTAGGTTCTTAGATGTGAATTTTCCAGTTAAGACATTGCATATAGCTTTTTATAAGATTTTTTTTGTAGTTTTCTTAAATGTAGGGTATAGAAGAAACACTAACCTTTGAGTGTTAAAGCCTTAAAACTAGGCTTTTGTGCATTAGCAAATTACACATTTCAAAGATCTCAATGAAAGTTACAATTGTGGTCCTTTGCAGTTTTACTATATCTCCAAGATATATCAATTGTGGCTCACATATATGGAACACTTTGTATTTATTAAAATTAACACTATTTAGTAACTATCTTTTAATAATTGAAGTTTGTTAAGTTCTATTTCTCTTACTTTGTTTTTTTTTTAATTCTATGTTTTTTTCTTTACTTTATAATGCTTGAGGTTTTATAAAGTGAACTAACAAAAATGTTAATTTAACTCAATTTCATCCCAGGAGTTAATATCAAAATTAAAAATTAATTCTCCTATTTTGATCATTTATCCATAATGATATAGAATGATTCAGTCTGTTTATTTTGATTCATTATGTGTCTATTAATGATTGAATGAAAATAAAAGTTGGCATTGATTACTGAGTAAGCTATTATTAAACTGCCTTCTCACATTTTGTCAGTTGGCTATGTGTACATGTAAAATTTGATCTTGATTCGGTCTTGCTAAATTTTTAAATTCATAGAGGTGTATGTATTTTCTCTGACAGTGAGTTATATTTGTTTCAATAAGTAATTACTAATGCTAGAGCAGTCAGTGGTTATAATTATTTTTTATTTTTAATTCTTGGAAATTAGTCATTATAAACCTGTATTCTACTTTTAATTATTACTAATAAAAGAGATAATTAAATTTTGTATTTCAAACCTTCATTTTTAATCTTAAATATTAATGAGGTAAATAATAATAATGATTTTAAACAGATTTATGTGTTGCTTTTGTTAGATATACGAACTTTTGTTTACCTTATGTAATTTTTATTCAGTCACATACTGTTCCTTAAAATTATTAAAAATAACCTTATTTTGTATAGTAAAAAGTGCTTTGGAGTGACTCTCTTAAAGCTTGTCATGATGCATTTATGGTTAATAGATGAATAATTAAATTATTATTTCCTTAAAATAATAATAGAGACAATTGATGAGTGTGCTATTCATATTTTAAGTGATTGTCTCTTACATTTTAGGAATATGAACAAAATTATATGTATCGTGCTTTCAATAATTGTTATTGGTTGAGCATTTTAATGAAGAATATCTTTCAATTTAATGGATGGTATGGGTTTTTTTTTTCTTATACACAACTAAATATCCTTTTTTTATTCTGTTGTTAGTTATAATATCTTCTTCTTTTTTTTTTTTTTTTTTTTTTTTTTGTAGTTATTAAATATGCGTTATAATTCCTATTTTCATATTCTCTCCTTGTGATATCATGCAATTATTCCCATGAATTCCACTTGTAAAATCATTCTATACTAAATATAATTACAGTAGACTATCATTACCAGTTAAGTCCTGTTTATATGAGTAAGGTTTTTGTAGTAAGTCTTGATCTAGACATTGTAGTTTGTACTTGCAATTGTCTTACCACCAGAAAATGGCATATTTATATTCAAAAACATAAATACGAATATCATTTATATTTATGACACTTTTGAATATAAATATGAATATATATATATATATATATATATATATATATATATATATTCATAAAAAGCAACATGAATACAGATGATACTTATTCACAGCTGTAATTATAAATAAGGCCTTATTCACCACTTTAAAAGTGAATACGGCTGTATTTACAGTTATACTAGTAAATATGGCCGTATTCACGTTTATTAAAATGATTACTTAAATTTACAGAAGTGAATGGTAATATTTTCACACAACCTTATGAATGAATACTCTTGTTTATTAATTAAATATTAATTTTACTTTAGGTATTTTCCAAAATAAAACAAAAAAAAGTATGCAAAAATGAAAATAAAGTTCTGGACAATAAGGAGTTAATTAAATAAATCTCTTAAATTAGACAAATTGGTTTTAAACTTTATTATAAATGCTATGATTCTCTTAGAAGTGGTTGATGATCCCAGTTTCCGAAAACTTTTGACATTTTTGCGTAAACAAACTAATTTAAAAATGATTAGTTGGCGATCTCTTGCAAGGAAACTTGATAAAAAAATTTCACAACACACGGATAACATTAGGAAGATGTTAAGACAAGTTCCTTATGTTTGCATGACAGCAGGTATTTGGTGTGGAGAATAACAAAGTTTTATTGGCGTCACCGCTCATTGGATTAATGTTAAATGCAGAACAAAATCTGTAGCATTGGCTCTTGAACGATTCTTGTGCTGCCATACACATGATAAAATGGCTGCCTTATTATATCAAATTCATAGTAGTTTTGAATTTTCCTCAGACAAAATTGTTGCAACCGCCACAGATGATGGCAGCAATTTTGTCAAATCTTTCAGGATATTCGGGATGAAATGTGAGAATATTAGTTTAGAAGAAAAGGAAGAAGAAGAAGAACAAACTGACATATATGTGAATAATGATGACGATAAAGAAACCGAGTCCTGAGTGGCAGGTGATAAAATTGTCACAGAAAAATTGCCCTTCCATTTCAATTATATGGTACTACATTGAATAAGTGCAATGCTGTTGGGCGACTGTTAAAAAGAGCCAAAACTGCTGAAATAATTGAAAAAATATTGGGAAAAACACTTACCAGACCCAAAAAACTGAGTTGGAACAGTCTATAACTCATTAAAATATATTTTATATATAATTCAAAAACACATGAGAGAGTTGCAAAAACAATTGAGTATAAAAGACTGCCTAGGTGCAGAAGAATTTTTGTATATAGAAGAATTTTTAACTTTAAAAAGACATTTCTTTTTAGTTTAAGCATTTAAATGTAACTTTTACTGGAATAAGTTCCAAATATAGCATTTCCAAGTCAATTTCAACCTTTTCCAAGTCAAATTCAACCTTTTCCAAATCAAATTAAACTTTTTCCAAGTCAAATTCAACCTTTTCCATTTCAAATTAAACCTTTTCCATTTCAAATTCAACCTTTTTTTATTTATTTAATTATCTTTAATTTTTCGATGCGTGGGTCTGTTATCGTATGAGTAGTTTTTTAAAATAATCTCCTTTTTAAGATTATCTGACTGCGTTTCGAATTATTTAAGTTTTTTTTGACTTATTCGATATAAGGGTGTATTTTTATGTTTCCCGATCAGTAAATTTTTAAAATGACATCTATTTTATGTTTACGCCACTGTGTTTTGATTTATTTAAGTTTTTAGAATTTATCCAATATAAAGGTCTACTTTTTTGTTTCCGGAGCCGTGGATTTTGAAAACGACCTCCATTTTAAGATTAGGCCACCGCGTTAAGACTTATTTGAGTTTTTCGGATATTTTTCATATGAGGGTGTATTTTTATGTTTCCGGAGCTGTAGATTTTGAAAATGACCTCCATTTTATGATTACGCCACTGCGTTTTGACTTATTTAAGTTTTTCGAATTTATCCAATATTAAGGTCTACTTTTATGTTTCTTGAGCCGTAGATTTTGAAAATGACATCCATTTAATGATGACGCCATTGCATTTTGACTTATTTAAGTTTTTCGAATTTATCCAATTTAAAGGTCTACTTTTATGTTTTCGGAACCGTAGATTCTGAAAATGACCTCTATTTTATGATTACGCAACTGCGTTTCAACTTATTTAAATTTTTAGAATTTAACAAGTATAAAGGTCTAATTTTATGTTTCTGGAGCAGTAGATTTCCCCCATTTTGTAAATGACCGAATTTAAAGTTTATGCCACTGTTTTGGATTATAAAAGTTTTTTTTTTTACTTTTTCGGTATAAGGATCTACTTATATGTTATCCGAGACGTATTGAAATTTTTCTAATCTTTAATATTTAAATTTATCTAATATTTAAGCTCCATTTTATGATTAAGCCGCTGCATCTTGATTAATTAGGCTTCATTTTGGATTTTTTCAATACAAAGTTTCATCAATATGTTTTCGAGTATGAATAAATAAATAAATATTATGAAGCTAAAGTAAAATTAACCACAGAATACAAACTAAAAAGCCGAAAAGCAACTGGTAATAAATTTAACCTTCCGTATTCAGATTTTTCAGCTAATTGTTCGAAATCTTATAATTTTGTGATAGGAGACCACAACATTAAAAAAGATAACTAAAATTAAATTAAAAATGAGACAATACATATTTTATTTATTTTGATTAGATATTTTTATTTATTTATTGAAAAATAAATTAATCCTTCGTATTATGTTTTTTATTCGAAGGAAAAATCAAAAACACTTAACAAAACCGAAACACAGTGGCCTAATCTTAAAATGTAAGTCGTTTTAAAAACTAAGGCTCCGGCATCATAAAAGTAGACCTTTAAATTGGATAAATTCGAAAAACTTGAATAAGCCGAAACGCAGTGGCGTAATCTTAAAATGGAGGTCATTTTCAAAATCTACGACTCCGGAAACATAAGAATACACTCTTTTATGATAAAAATTCGAAACACTTAAAGAAATCGAAATGCGGTGGCCTAATCTTAAAATGGAGGTCGTTTTCAAAATCTACGGCTCCGGAAACATAAGAATACATCCTCATATGAAAAAAATCCGAAAAACTCAAAGAAATTGAAATGCGGTGGCCTAATCTTAAAATGGAGGTCGTTTTCAAAATCTACAGCTCCGGAAACATAAAAATACACCCTCATATGAAAAATATCCGAAAAACTCAAATAAGTCGAAACGCGGTGGCCTAATCTTAAAATGAAGGTCGTTTTCAAAATCTACGGCTCCGGAAACATAAAAGTAGACCTTTATATTGGATAAATTCTAAAAACTTAAATAAGTCAAAACACAGTGGCGTAAACATAAAATGGATGTCATTTTCAAAATTTACTGATCGGGAAACATAAAAATACACCCACATATCGAATTTGTCAAAAAAACTTAAATGATTCGAAACGCAGTCACGTAATCTTAAAATGGAGGTTATTTTCAAAACTAGGTACAGGACAGCATAATACTAGTCCCTAAGAAATCCGAATAGGTACAATAAATCGATATCCGTAAGTGAAAATTCTACTTAGGAGAGCATAATAATAGACTTTCATATTGGAGGGGGGGAGGGGATGGCCATTATTTAAAAAAAAAATATAAAATTTACAAAAACTTAAAACATTAATTTGAAATGAAAACGGTTGAATTTGAATTGGAAAAGGTTTAATTTGAAATGGAAATGGTTGAATTGACTTGGAAAAAGTTTGATTTGATCTGGAAAAGGTTGAATTTGACTTGGAAAAGGTTGAATTTGACTTGGAAATAATTGAATATCACATAGAAATATCACACTGAAAAAATCTAAAATGTTAAAATAAATGGATATGCAACTGCGTAATCAAATTTTTTTTTGTATTTTTTAAAAGCTATGCCGTCGATAATATAGTAAGTGGCCTTCATTTCGAAAAAAATCGAAAATTGACAAAAATTCTAAAGTTGAATTTGAAATGGAAAAGGTTGAATTTGACTTGGAAAAGGTTGAATTTGAAATGGAAAAGGTTTAATTTGACTTGGAAAAGGTTGAATTTGATTTGGAAAAGGTTGAAATTGACTTGGAAATGCTATATATTAATTACATTTTTATTTTTTAATAAAAGAAATTGTAGAAAGTGATTAAAAAACAAAAAAATATAATTTGTGATACTTTTATTTTGTTTTAAAAATATCACATACTTTATCAGTGTATTATTTTGTTTTATTTATTATTATCATTTTTTTAAACATTTTCGAATGTGTATATATATGTATATTCAAATCTGTTTTGATTAGATCAATTCAAATAATCTTAAAATATTCATAATTATAATTTCATGTTTAATAAAATTGAACGTTTTACTTATACATCATTTCGATTTAGCAAATACCAACTTCTTAATATTATTCCAAAAATTTTTAAGAGATTTATTTATTAAACCCCTTACTGTCTAGAACTTTATTTTAATTTTTGCACAGTTTTTTTTTGTTTTATTTTGGAAAATACCTAAAGTAACAAATCAATTAATATTTATTAAAAATAAGAGTAATAATAAAGGGTTCAGTACTATGTGAGGAAGTAGTGGTACAAGGCTAACGGTTGTGCAGATTTGGTGCTGCGTGATTTGGCCGAGATCACGCTCACCCACTAGATTTTTCTCATTTAATTAAGAGATCCCATATATTTAATATAGTCATGCAATAATATAGTTTCATTTTCATTTGAAACTAATGTTTAGGTTTTATTCTCATACTCATTCTACTATTTTACAACAAAAGAAACTTAAAATTGTTAATTTTCAGTGAAAAATTAAATGAGGTTGAAATATACTCAACTGATCAGTTAGAATGGGTTAACGCTAAGAAGCAGAAATCCATCGAAGAATCCTTGAATAGTGATGAAATACTACTACCCATTACACCAAAAATACTACCACGACCTCAACCAGCAACTTCTAAAATATTTGCTAAACGAACTGCTGACATGAACAAAGGATTCCTCATGTTTTCTGATGATGATACTGGTTTTACAAGTAATTTAATTTTAGTGTTACTTTTTTATTATTTTTTTTTATTTATTTAATTATTATTATTTTTTATTGATTTTTTTTTATTATTATTTATTTTATTTTTTTGTAACATAACTGTATTTGCCATGTTGAAGTAATGTAACAATCATTATTAAAGCTTTACCTGATTTCATATGGATTAGATTGTCTAGAAATAATGCAGGATTTTGATTTATAAAGAAAGATTTGCAACTGTTTTATTTGATCAAAATAGTTCCCACTGCTATCAATACATTTCTGCTAACGTGTTGGAAACTTCTCTATTTCCCATCTTTAGAATTGATAAACTCAAAAAACGTATTTTCTTATTGCATTTGTCCATTAAATTGTTTGTCACATAAGTAGTGGTCCAGAAGTCTAAAAACATGATAATCCATAAATATGAGGTCCGGAGAGTGGGGCGGATGTGGCAGAGTTTCAAATCCAAGCTCTAACGGTTTTTGTGACATCACGCATGAGACATGTGGCCGGGCATTGTCATGCAACAGATATCCCCTTCTGATTGATCAAAGATGGCTTCATTATTGCCAATTTCTGATGCATTGCATTAATTTGGTTACAGTAAGATTCGGCATTGATTGTTTCTCCAGGATTTAAGAAGCTATAGTGTATCAAACCAAATGAAGCCCACCAAACAGTAACCATCACCTTTTTTTGATGAGTTGGGGCTTTGGAAAATGTTCTGCTGCTTCTTCTTTGTCAAGCCACTGTCCAGAATGTCTAATATTATCGTGAAGTATCCACTTTTCATTGCAAGTAACAATTCTGGACAGAAAAGGGTTGTTTTTGTTTTGCCAAAGAAGTGTAGCACAAACTTCATACCGCTGTTTTTTTTTGTTTTTTTTGGCGATTATTTAATGTGTGGCCTTTCCAATCGCCTTGAGATAGTCATCGACAGTCAATTTGCTAAGGTTAAGGTTCGAACAGTTGTTCTGGGGTTTTCTTCTACCAAAGCCCGCAGAACATCGTCATCAAGAGAGGAAGTTCTTCCACGACCTTCTTTGTCTTCAAAGATGAAATCTCACTTCCAAAATTTTTTAACCACCATTGAATACTGGACTCATTAATGCTGCTCTAGTCCCAGACTTGATTGATGTTTCTGACCATCTAGGCCCCATTCCGGCCGAGTTTAAACTCATATAACAAAATTATATGAAAATCATGTGTTGACTTCTTAGTAAAGACCAAATTATTTCCAAGTAGTGAAATGCTACAGAGGTAAACAAACATTATCACTTAGAAGAGGATTGATAATAAGTTTTGACATTCATGCAAATGAATAATCCAGTAAACGTAAACAGTTTGTTATATAGAGGAGTATTTTAAAGAAAACTCAAAATACTGCATTATTTTTTAATTCTATGTAATTCTTGAACAGATACACTCACAATAATATAATAGTCATCTACCTTTTTTTATTAATTAGTTATTGTTATAAAACTGATACTTATTTTTAGTAGGTAATATTCATAATACTGTCAAAATCTCTTACTACAAATGTAACTCATTAGATTATTCTTGAAGAATATTATCTATTGCATTTGTCTTCAAAATTTGACTAAATTTAGGAGAAAAAAACATTATTTTTACAAAGATATTTGGTTCAATATGTTTATGATCTGTCAGAATTGACTGATCCCAATACAGCTTGACATGCCACTTAGAGACTATTGGCTCTGTGTGATATAATAGGGGTATTCATGCACTTGTAAATGCTTAGGTCTAGTTTCACCGACCATTGTTAACTTTAATTTTACTAATTTTTATTAGTTTAACAATGGTTAACAGAATTTTTGCTGCACCATTGTCAATTAGCCTCAACAACGTGTTAAGTTATCATAACTAGCTAACCTAACGTTAGACCTTGATCAAATCTTTAAACAATGTTAAAGTGTAGCCTTGCATACAACTACTTCTAACAACAAGCAATTATTTGGTTCTTCTGAGAATACTAGTGTACTGTTTTTGTTTTGTACGTTTTTCAAGGGAGGTAATGCGAACCGAGAAAGGGTTGGATCTGGGTGGGACAACATCCGTGCTGGGCTATGCTGATGATCTGGTACTGTTAAGCGAAGATGTTGAAACTATAAAACTAAATACGACAACGTTAATGAAAGCCGGTAAAGAACTACGACTCGAAATAAACGTGGATAAAACAAAATACATGGTTAGCTGCAAAAATGGCGATACTACTGGTGATATCGATATAGATGGTAATATGTTTGAACAGGTAGATAAATTTAGGTATCTAGGTTCTACGATAACTAGAAAAAACGAAATTGAAGAAGAGATTAAGGTTAGACTGAAAGCGGGAAATGCTTGTTATTTTTCTGTGACAAAACTACTTAGTTCGCGCCTCTTGTCCCGAAACTTAAAAATTAGAATCTATAAAACAATTATCTTGCCTACAGTCCTTTATGGATGCGAAACTTGGCCGCTTACATTAAGGGATGAGCAGCGTCTTAAGGTTTTTGAAAAAAAAGTATTGCGTAGAATATTCGGACCGAAGAAGGATGAGTTAACCGGAGAGTTCAGACGGTTACACAACGCCGAATTGCGTGAGCTGTATCCGGGTAATATAATTGAGGTAATTTCATCACGGCGAATCAAATGGGCTTGTAAAGTTGTTGGGCTTAGTAACGAGAGAATTCCTAAAAGGTTAATATTTGCTATGCCGAATGGTAAGCGTCCGAGGGGTAGACCGAAGCGAAGGTGGGAAGATTGCATTAAAGCCGATCTGAAGGGACTGGGTTTGGACGGCGAACGGTGGAGGGAGGTGTGTAACAAGCGATTGGTGGTGTCGGCATCGAACCTTCGGGTTCGCTAAGCCTTATTATTATTATTATTATTACGTTTTTCAAGACAACTAGAAATATTATTTCATCTGAAGAAGATTCTTCTGAAGAAAGTTTATCATCAAATGAAGTCTTATTTAATCTTATCAATCTGATTTTCTCTTTCATAAACATTGCCCCCTCCTTCTCTTTTTCCATCATCTTTACAATAATTAACAAGCGATATTCAATCAAATAACCTAATACCTCATTAATTGTAAATATCAAAGTTTACATGCAAGTTGATGGAAGGTTTCGTAACATAACCCAATAGTCATAAAAAAATATGTCCTACAAAAATATGGGGCGTTTGGCCTGTATAATCTCGCTATTTTAACTTTTTGGGTGAAGGTCACGGCCAAACGGATCACTATCTTTGTAGGCCACCAAATATGCTATTATGCTAAGCAGTCAGCACAAATTTTGAATGAATGGTAAATAACCTGTCTGTTCTAACTTGTTATTAGATATAGTAAGGTTATGCCTGTACAGTAAATCAAATTTTTGAATTCTTAATTGGTATGCTAACGTTTCGATTTATTTTTAAAATGCCAGTGTGAATTGAAAAGACTGAGTTGCTGGATTATTTGGTTAAAAATGCTTTATTAGAAAGCATTAATAAACATTCATATGATTCAGAAGGTAATACACTTGATGAATACATAGATGACATCCTAGCTGTCTTTGCATTCCATTTCTATGGCTGTTGTGCACAAATAAAGAACAAAGAATCTAACACATCAAAACCTTACAATAACCTACTCCGTGCATTCACTAAGTTAGCAATACTTTACAGGACCCTAGGCTGCAGTAAAATCGAGACTTAGCGGCCGGCCATATTTAAAATACATTTCGTATATAATTTTCTCGACTTTACATATTTAAGAGGTTTACAATACTTAGCACTGGTTGCATGAATGCCCCTATTACAAATAATAGTTAACCCTGAATTCCATCTTCTAAGTTGTGGCTTGGTGCACTACTTTATCTACATCGTTATCGTATTGTACACACTGACCTTTCATATTGTATTAACTTGACTACCTTTTTGCATAAGCGAAATAAAGTCATTGATGCCTTCTGTATATTGTTGTGACAATTGCTTGTTCTTGAATTGCTAGCCTGAATCCTTCTGTTTCTGAAAAGATATTACCACTCTGCAACCATGTAACGATGCCCTACTATCCATTCCTGTATCCATTAATGAGTGATAAAATTGTCTATGTAAAGACTTATTTTTCTATATTTCTGAGTGGCATCCATCATCTGTTTCACTAATCCCAGGGCTTCGTAGATTCAGAGTTTTTCATCTAATGATGCATTAGTTGAGAGGTTTTTGGAAGTATGATTTACGATATAGTTTTGAAAATAATTTCTCCCTTTCAGTATAAATTCAAGAGGTTGGTTAGACCATGCCCTTCCATTTTTTTTAGGAAGATATAATCATGAAACTTATGACTTTGGTTCTCTTTCTTGAAATTACCTTCTGGACTGGTGATCCAATTTTTCTAAACTGCCTTTTGTTCACTTCATTCCTCGAAATGAATAGTCTAATACTGGTCCTGCCCAGGTATTCAACACCCATATTAAATTTCTTCCATTTAAATATGATGTAAGTACTAATTTGTCAGTGTACTTATATTATTCATCAAAGTGTTTTTTTTTTTTAATTGGCATTGAATTTCAGGAATTTGTATATTCCTAGGTATTTACACGAAAAAGATTCCCTCAGTTGATTCATTATTACTTCTTCTGACAGTTCAATTTTACTTCCTTCAACAATTCTTCCTATTTTCACGTGTACTTCTGCACATTCATCTATTCCTAGATCCATTTTTATATTATTGCTTATTGCTGAACGCCCTTACTGTCTTCAGAAGAGCTCTCTTTCCAGCTTTGTTTCAGAATTAACTAGGTATCCTTTCTCTTAATCTCCTGATTTGCTGAGTGGATTAAGTGCCAAATAGTGCATCCAGAAGTTATATGCTGAATTGATCCTATTGAATTGTTGCATAGATAACATAAGTTACTTATGTTCTTTCTACATAACCTTATTATTATTATTATTATTTTTCAAATAAATATTATCATGAGCCAGGGTGTGGAGCTTGTCATATGAATGCTTAATGGTACTTTCACGATCACTGGAAAACTTGTTCTGAAATCTTTCAATCTGCCCTGTTTTCTTTGTTGTAAATTGCCCTTCTTCCATCATTGAAACCTTTTCAATTTCTAAAGTTCAAATTAACGACTATAGCAGGATTTTCTAAAAATAAATCACACTCAGCTAAATTAAATTTTTTCCTTGTTCTCTAAAAATTAAAACAAGCACTTTTATTATTATTTTTATACGGTTTTTGAAGAAATATAACCCAACATTTTGTGTTAGCATGCACAGAGCATTCCTTATACATTATTTTTATATGCATTCATTTGTCATAAGTTCTTATTAAATCATTCTTAATTCAATATGTTTTTCTCATTAATACTTTTTCTTATTTTAGTGATGAAAGATGAACCAGAAGATTTGACCCATTTGGCACCAACAGCAGGTGATGCCTGTGTTCCTTTGGGAAGCTTGATGATGACCAACCTAATTCCTGACAGTTATTGCCCTCTTATTGATGCTGACAAAGAAACACCTTTGTTTTCGTCATATAGAGATGATTGCTCTACAGGGTCTTTATCTCCTTCACTTGCTCAGGTATTTCTTTATTCTTTACACTAAACTTAAATTACCCTATTCCGTTTTCTCTCCACACTAAACTTTTATTAAGTTTTTTAGACATACTTCAAATTATGAGGTGACATCACAGATGTTTTATCATTGTTGACAACGTTTTTAAAAAGTTGTTTGCTACCAACAGAATTTGGCTATGTTAATGCTAATATTAAATGTTTTCTTGAGTTTTATTATATTAGTATTATATATCATTAGTATATTACAAGAGGTTTGTCTGAAAATTTAATATAAAAGTAAAAAAAAAAAAATTTAAGTAATTCAATATTATCCCCTTAAAAATAGTTTTCCTTAGACACAATACACTTGCACCAATCACTCGTGTTCTTGCATGCTTGATGATAATTGGTTATTTCTGACTAGATGTTAATATAGAACTTGTTTACCTGCTGCTACTTCTGGTGAAAGGATTAGCTACCTTAACAATTACAAATCTGAGGGACCAGATAGAATTCCATTATTGATTATAAAGGAAAATAAAAAAATTAATTAATTTTTATAAAGCATTAGAATTTTTAACATGTCAATACTGCAATGAAAATGTTTACAAAATTGTGGAAAACTGCAAGGCAGTCATTACTTCTGTTTTTAAGAATTCCGATAGAATTATCACTTCCCAAATTTTATGGAAAGGTGTGATTTAATAGATATATATATATATATATATATATATATATATATATATATATATATATATGCAGGTAGTACAAAATAATGAAAAACTATTTTATTTAAGCCAACATTTCAACTGACTTATGCAAGTCTTCATCTATTATGTATAACTGTAATATGTATAATAAAATAATTGATGGAATGTTTGAAAAATTTTACTTTTATTAATTAAAAATTAGATATGATTGATTGATTTTAGTTTTGAGTGAATGTAATAAATTCATATAAATTGATTTATTTTTAGGTATCAATAATTTGATAGGGCCTTATTATCACATAAATTATGTTATTACTGTGCGGATAAGTATATGTTTGTATTTGTATTTATAAAATTGTTTGTGTTGAAGACCTATATTATATTAGTCCATAAATACTTCAAATTTGTGTAGAGATATATCAGAGCTATGACCGTGTTAAACTATTTTACCTCATGCAGAAATATTGTTTGTATTTTGTCATTGTAAACAATGTGTTTTTGTTGTTTTTTTACTTTTACTTACCTATATAGTAAGGGTAAGTATTGTGATCATGAAAATTTTTTAATCTGAGTTTTCAACGGTCTATGCACCTTTTGAGGTTCCCTGAGTCCAAATAACCAATATTGGCTTCCTCTAAAGTACCTTTAATTTTTTTTATTTGAAACAATTGACCATTTCACATTAATTTCTAATATGAAAAATGGTTAAATATAATATATGAAATAATTTGATAAATAACTAAAGGAGAAATAAGAGATCGTAACGGAGAATATTTGTAATTGAGGAACCAAGGAATACGAGCTCGCCCGAAAGATTAGAACACGCTTCCATATGTATCATGAACTTAATATAATACGGACTCCAGCAATATTATATAAATGAACATATTTGGTTCTCATAAATGCTATTGTTGGTATTATTTAATATTTAATTATATAGATTACAGTGATATAAATATTAAAATTTGTATATATGAGGTTACTTATATAAATAAAAATGCCCACAATGAAATATAAATAAATATAGAGTCTATCATTTTTATTTTCACTTTGCTTTGTCTGAAAATACTTATTTCTGCTAAGAGGGTGGTAAGTGAAAGTTGTGTGATGCACGCACTACACCAGATTTTTAAAAATTATTTACTTCCTCCCTTAATTTGGCACTTTTCCAGGTAGTGGAAATCTGTTTTTAAATATATAAAATAAATAAATCATGACTATGCCCTTGCATATACAGCCCATTGCATAATAGCCCCATATTAACCTGATTTGATACCATGTGACTTTTTCTTGGTTCCCAAATGCAAGATAGTACTTTGGAAATGGCATTTGGGAGACCATAAAAACAGAAACAACAAAGCAGCTGAAATATCTCCATGCTGAGAATTTTAAAGGAGGTAATATTGAATTACCGTATTTGAATGTATTTTTTCATATTTTTTACTTTTATATGAACATTTCAGACAAACTTTGTGTTGTTTATTCTAAACATTTATCTTCATTGTTCAGTCTTTCATTTATTTTTTTTTTTAATTTTAATAAATTGAATAAAATCTCTACCTAATACATATATTCTCATATTTATAGAGTCCTGGTGGATGTAGTTTGCCATCACTTTCTAGCCTAGGTGAAGAATCTGCTCACTTTGAAGAAACTACTATGAAATCAATCCTTGGAATTGATTTGGTTGAACATGAAACTGATGACATTTCTTCTCGTGCTCCGTACATTCCAATGTCAGACATGGATGATCTTCCAGTGTTGATGTCTTCTGACTTACTCTGGAATGTAAATTACCCTGTTACATCTGGCAGCAATAATTCAAGTGGAAGATGGTTAGTATAGTTTATGATGCAAAATCGACTAGTTATGAAAATTTACCTAAATATATTATTTTACCTATTCAGGTAGACTGACATAATTTAACCCATTAGCACCATGTGTTACCATATGGTAACATAACTAGAGCGATGTTAAGAAATTAATGTAGAATAGATTATAGTAAAAATAATATGGTAAATCAAATGCAGTGAAACCGTCCTTTTAATTTAGTAACTGATCTGACTTGATCTGGAATGTGAATTACCAGAGCTGATCATTATTTGTCTGATACATCAGTGTGACATCTGTTTTTCTCAGATTCTGATACTTCTCATCTTTCTGAATAAATAATTAAATGTTTCCAAATCTTGTTTTAATTTGATCATGTGTGATTAATTTTTACTTTCACTTGCCTATATATGAAATGTATAATAAAGGAAAGTATTGTGATCATAAAAATTTTCAAATCTGAATTTTTGACAGAAATACATGTTTTGAGGTCTCCCGAGTCGAAATAACTCAAGTCCTGCAAAATGGTATGTGTGTGTTGACAGTCTAGCTCAAAAATGAAAAGTCATACGGCAGTGAAATTGCATATTTAAGATTTTTATATGATAGGGATGTTACAGCAACTTTTTCGTCAAAATCAGCTAACCTGAAGTGGCACTTTATATCATGGACTAAATACATTTTTAAGATTTTTTCAAAAACTGCTCTAACGATTTTGATTAAATTCATAATGTCAGTGTAAAATTAAGTGGTTTTAAATAAAATGCAGGTTTTATTCTGATTGATGCTCTCTCACAGGGCTTAAATGGCTAATTTTCAATATTAGCTTCCCCTAAAGTATTTTTAATTTTTTTTATTTGAATCAATTGACCATTTCACATTAATCTCTAATATACAAGATAGTTAAATATAAAATATGAAAGAATTTGATAATTAACTAAAGTAGAAATAAGACATTGTAACGGAGAATAGTTGTAATTGAGGAACCGAGGAATACGAGCGTACCCGAGCTCCCCCAAAAGATTATAACACGCTTCCATACATACCATGATCCTAATTTCATTGCCGGCCTTAGAGTAGAGCAACGGGGAAATTGTCCCGAGGTGCCAACTGATTCAGGACTCCACTTGTTAGAAATTAAAAAAAAAATACAAAACATATTAAAATAATTAATTTTAGCCTATCAATAAAGCAACTGTATCAGAGAAATGTTTAAATGAAATTAAATTCAAATAATACATAATTTAAAACAGCTTAAGAAATAAATTTAATTTTTTTAGGAGAGGAAAGATAACTTTATTGTTTGGGAGGGGGGGGGGAGGACTGAATGTATTTAATTGTATAGATTACAGCAATATAAATATTAAAATTTGTATATACATATATATATACAAATACATATATATATATATATATATATATATATATATATATATATATATATATATATATATATATATATATATGTATATATATATATATAAAGGTACTTATACAAATAAAAATAGCCATAATGGAATATAAATCAGTATAGCATTTATAATTCTTACTTTCACTTCCCCTTTGTCTTAAAATACTTATTTCTGCTTGTAAGGGTTATTGTAAGGGTAAATAAAAGTTGTGTGATGCGCGTCACACACCAGATTTTTTATGTTTGTTATAACCAGGATCAGTATTTTACTCTGACATTACCTCTATAAAAGGAGTGGTTAGGCGTACCAATTTCCTATGCACTTAGAGATATTATTGCTAATGAAGTGTTTTATCATTTTTTTATGGAATGTAGTATTATGACCATGAATAATTGGTAAGTTATTAACTTAAAGAATTGAATGTCTTGCACCACTTCTCACTTTCGTTTTTTTTTAACATAGCACACCCATCAGGATGGAACTGAAATCTCAAACAACCCAACCGAACAGTTCTAGCTTAGCTCACCTTTTACAAGTGAATAAAGAAAATACAATTCTCAAATACCCAGATGACCAGGGTGGAGGGCATCGTAGAATATTTTCATCTTCAGGTAATGATTCATTTTTTACTTAAGCATAATTAATGTGCCATTATTTTACTTTTTACATACACTTTAAAAATTATACTGACTATCCGGTTTTGATTTTCAATTATAAAATTTATGTAAATAATTAAGAAATTGGTACTCACAATCTTCTTATATACACTCATTTTTACAATCTAGTCTCACCCTACCATATTAGACACTCAGTTTAAGTGAGGGCTGCACGATGCTAAGAGTATTTGGCAAATGTAGTTACATGTATTGTGTGACCATATTACAAACTGCAATTACCAAGTACCCAACATTCATGTTTTACTCCTGCTACATGATGCTATGAATGCCCAAAGAGGCATAAGAAGTAAAAGGCGAACCTGGTGGATGGGAGCTCTTTATCTCTTTCTCTACAGGGTGTCCCGTAAGTAGAGGGAAATATTTAAAAGATTAATATTAGACATTAAGATCTACTACAAAGTTCATATAAAGAGCTGCCCAATTTCCAGCAGAAAAGTAGGAAATTTAAGATTTGTGTCATCCAGATCCCAGATATGTCCTGTTAACGTACAGAGGACTTTTCTTTAGAATCTCTCAATTCTGCTTGGTATGGTGCCGGTTAGAGCTCAAGTTTTACAGCCGTGCACCAGAACTGGCTTTATCACGGCATTGTACATCCTTAGTTTTAGATTTATAGAAATTTTTCTGGATTTCAGTACTCTTGAAAGGGTGAAGAAAGCTCTGTTCGCACTTGTTATTCACTGGTCTATCTCTGTTAGTTGATCATTTATTGAGGGTGTTGTGGAGCCGAGGTATTTGAATCTGTCTACTTTCGGGAATGAAAGAGTCCAAGTAGATCATGTTATTAGTGTGGATTTTTTGGCTAACTTATATATATTTTATTTTATCTACATTGACTTGTAGTCCGATTTGCTCTGCTTCTTTTAATAGAGTCCGAGCGAGTCTCTCAATATCCTCTTGATTGCTTTTGGGGACTATATCATCCACATATGCTAGGATTTTATGTTTTTTCCGACTTGCTCCCCGCCATCTTCGTGTGATGTTGTTCTTATTACTTTCTCTAGGGCTTAGTTGAACAGTATCGGCGAGAGTTCATCTCCCTACCTCAAACCCATTCGAATTTCAAAGGCTTCAGATACTTATTATTAGTAGCATTAGTTTCCTTCATTTAGGATCATTTTCACTCGCCTTCTTCAACCTCACTAACTTCCCGGGCACACCCAGCTCAGTCACGATCTTCCAGATTTAGTTTTATTTTTGCCGATATTTTGCCCTAAAGTTCAAGCCTTCATCAGAGCTAAGAAAAAAACATATAACAATGAGTAGAACTATTGACATTAATAGAAAATAATAATATGTAGGTGAAAGATATATTCTAAAATATATAGATAGAATAATCTTTGAGTAAAATATTTGTGGGTTGATAGTTGACTCTAGTGAATAGTTGGAGAGAAAAATGGTTGGGGTGATCAGTCAACTTATAAGAGAATAAAAAGTTAAAATAATGTAAAAAAGATGAATGAGCAAATGCATCAATATATACAAAATAGAGACGGAGATTTGGAAAATAGAGTGACGTGAAGGAGTAAATAAAAGGAGAAAACTAAGATAAAAAAGATAAACAACCTGTTCAATCCGACAAGCATGGACAGACAGAGGTATTGTAGCAAGCGATGGGGGAGCTGTAATGTTGCGCCATCTGTAACAGTTGACTGAAAAATGTGAACTAAAGTACAGGAAACGTATATAATGGATGAGAGAGATATAACAGATAAATTACTGAAATAATACTCTTTAATCTAATGTTTTATGTTTATTTCAGCAATACTCTATTATTATTTAATTTAAATCATAAAATTAATTATTTAATTTTTATCATTTCTGTTTTATACTATCTCCACATTATTTCCATCCTCTTTCAAACTTTTTTAAAATAATAATAATAATAATAAGGCTTAGCGAACCCGAAGGTTCGATGCCGACACCACCAATCGCTTATTACACACCTCTCTCCACCGTTCGCTGTCCGAACCCAGTCCCTTCAGATCGGCTTTAATGCAATCTTCCCACCTTCGCTTCGGTCTACCCCTCGGACGCTTACCATTCGGCATAGCAAATATTAACCTTTTAGGAATTCTCTCGTTACTAAGCCCAACAACTTTACAAGCCCATTTGATTCGCCGGGATGAAATTACCTCAATTATATTACCCGGATACAGCTCACGCAATTCGGCGTTGTGTAACCGTCTGAACTCTCCGGTTAACTCATCCTTCTTCGGTCCGAATATTCTACGCAATACTTTATTTTCAAAAACCTTAAGACGCTGCTCATCCCTTAATGTAAGCGGCCAAGTTTCGCATCCATAAAGGACTGTAGGCAAGATAATTGTTTTATAGATTCTAATTTTTAAGTTTCGGGACAAGAGGCGCGAACTAAGTAGTTTTGTCACAGAAAAATAACAAGCATTTCCCGCCTTCAGTCTAACCTTAATCTCCTCTTCAATTTCGTTCTTTCTAGTTATCGTAGAACCTAGATACCTAAATTTATCTACCTGTTCAAAAATATTACCATCTATATCGATATCACCAGTAGTATCGCCATTTTTGCAGCTAACCATATATTTTGTTTTATCCACGTTTATTTCGAGTCCTAGTTCTTTACCGGCTTTCATTAACGTTGTCGTATTTAGTTTTATAGTTTCAACATCTTCGCTTAACAGTACCAGATCATCAGCATAGCCCAGCACGGATGTTGTCCCACCCAGATCCAACCCTTTCTCGGTTCGCATTACCTCCCTAATGGCATGTTCTAATGCCAAATTGAACAGGACAGGCGAAAGAGAATCCCCCTGTTTTAAGCCCGAACGAACCTCAAATTTTTCGGACAAATTATTACCGATTCTAACTATATTGAGTGTCTCCGTCAAGCACATCCTGACTAGATTTACTAGTTTTTTAGGAATCCCCTGCTCGATTAGAATATTATACAGTTTCTGGCGGTCAATAGAATCGTAAGCCTTTTTAAAATCTATATACAGCTGGTGAACAATACCTTTATACTCCAATTTTTTCTCTAATATTTGCCGTAAAGAAAATATTTGATCAATAGTCGAACGATTCCGTCTAAATCCGCATTGGTAGTCTCCGATAATTTCCTCGGCGTATTCCGTGATTCGACTGGTTAAGATTAAAGTGAATATTTTATAACATACCGGAAGGAGTGAAATTCCTCGATAGTTATTACAATCCGTCCTCGGACCCTTTTTGTGAATCGGAATAAGAATAGATTCTTTCCATTCTTCAGGTAATTTCTCGTTCACCCAGATCTTTTTAACCAACCGATGTATTTTAGAAACTCCAGCTTCCCCGCATGCCTTAATTAGTTCAGTAGGAATATTATCGATTCCCGCTGCTTTATATGATTTTAATTTTCCGATAGCTACTTCAACTTCCTCTTTACTTGGTCCTTCTATTAACGGTTCAGCACTCTGGTACTCAGAAGGAGGACACAGATCATAATTTCCCGTATTTAAAATATTGTCAAAGTGGTCCTTAAACTTATTCAATATGTCAACCGGATCGGTCAGAATATTGTTATTATCATCCCTAATTCCAGACGTTACGGGCCCTACATATTTACGTGATCTGTTTATACCTTTGTACATGTCTCTTACGTTATTTTCGATTCTATTAGTTTCTATTTCAATTATTTTATTTTTAAGATACTCCCTTTTTTTATTTTTGAGCAATTTTGTCGTTTCGTTCTTTGAGATTCGGAAGTATTCCAGATTGTCTTCGCTAGGATTATTTAGAGCTTTTAATTTAGCGGCTTTTCTTTTTTCACACATGGTTAAGCAATCTTCATCAAACCACGGTTTGTTATTCTTATTTTCCTTTTTTCCTAGACACGAGTTACCGACCGCTTTAATATTATCCCTGATCTCTACCCATAACTTGTCAATATCCTCGTGGTCCTCGTCAGGAAGCTCTAAAGCTTCAAACCTATTCTTAACATCTAGCTCGAATTGGTTTCTAATTGATGGATTTTTTAATTTTTCCAAATTAAAATTCTCAAAATCGAAACGGTTTTCTTTTCTCTTTTTTATATTAAGTTTTTGTCGAAGTTTCGCGATCACTAATTCATGGTCCGACCCACATTCTGCTCCGCGATAAGACCGTACATTAATTATACTGCTTTGCCAGCTGTGTTGTATCAAAACATGATCGATTTGATTTCGTGTTTGCGAATCCGGTGATGTCCAAGTATATTTATGAATATCCTTATGTTTAAACGTCGTACTTTTAATTATCAGGTTTTTCGAGATGGCAAAGTTTATCAGACGGATCCCATTATCATTACTATATTCGTGCAAACTTTCTTTACCAATCGTCGGAATATAAACTTCTTCCCTTCCTACCTTTGCGTTCGCGTCACCTACAATTATTTTCATGTAGTTTCGCGGTAGTTTATCATAAACCCATTCGAGTTTATCGTAAAATTCACTTTTGACTTCATCGTCACTGTCTTCGGTCGGACAATGTATGTTTATTAATGCGATTTTAAACCAACGTCCCTGAAATATAGCTACCGAAATTCTATCACTAAAGAATTGTACGTCCCTCAAAGCGGATAGTAATCTACTCCTAATTAGAAACCCGGTACCTAAACAATGATTCCCGCTTCCTCCGTACCAAATAGTGTACTTTCCTTCCCTCATCGAGCCCTCCCCTGGCCAGCGAACCTCTTGCAGAGCCACGACATCCAAATTGTACCCATTTACCTCATTCGCGACCGATTTTAGCCCCCCTGCTGTGTTTAAACTCCTTACGTTCCACGTACCAATATTTAAATCCCTATATTTCAACTTGCACCATGAATCCCCTAAAGCAGTCCCCACCCGGAGACCCGAACGGGGGACTAGTTTACCTCCGGATAATGAGCGTTTTACCTTAGGGAGATCCATGACTTTTTGTGGTGTTTGGTGAACTAAAGATATGTGAGTAGGGCGTTCAATCCTACGTCACACCCTCCAGCAAGTCTGGTGGGCCTCTACCTCCAGCAAGTCTGGAGGGCCCCTCTAATTGTTGGTCAGCGAATCCATCGGACTTAGCCGGGAGGAACTTCCAAGGAATTTCCACCGACCATACCCACATCCGCCACCCGTGGGACGCTCCCCATACGCGGTAATGAGCCCGAGCGAGGTTTTTAAAATAACTTTTAGAATTTATCTATTAAATATCTCGTCCATTATATACGTTTCCTGTGCTTTAGTTCACATTTTTAGTCAACTGTTACAGATGGTGCAACATTACAGCTCCCCCTTCTCTTGCTACAATACATCTGTCTGTCCACCCTTGTCTGATTGAACAAGATGTTTATATTTTTATCCTTTTTGTCCTCCTTCCCATCACTCGATTTTCCATATCTCAATCTCTATTTTGTATATATTGATGCATTTGCTCATTCATCTTTTTTACATTATTTTAAATTTTTATTTTCTTATACATAGTCAGTATTTTTGATAGATTTTACAATATCTTAATTTTCTATCTATATATATTATTTCCTTATATAACTTCATATTCCTTTTCTCTGTTTTACATTTTATTATAAGATAACAACCATTTTTGATTTCTTTTGTTACCTTACTTTGATTATATTTTATTTCACTGGTTCTTGCTTTGTTGCTGTTATTATTATTTATTTCTTAGTTCTCTGTTACTGTTATTATTCTACCTACTTTATTTTACTTAAATGCTCACTCTATCTACTTCAATTTTTAAGTTTTTTCTACCTACATTTTTGTATTCTTTAACTTTCACCGTTTTTAATTTTAATTCTTTATTATTCAATGTTTCTATTTTCTCATACCTATTGTTATCTAGTTCTTTTCTTAGCCCTGATGAAGGCCTGAACTTTAGGTCGAGATGTTGGCAAATGTAAACATAAATATTATTATTTATTTTTGCTATTTTTTATTTTGACTGGTCACACCATCCTTCTCTTCAATTAAAGTAAAATAAAGTAGGTAGAATAAACCTAAATGAAATGTAAAATAACGATAAAAAAAGTTAGGGATAGAAAGTAGTGGAAGCAAAGTTAGGATATATAATATAACGGTAACATAGTGAAGAAATTATGAATGAAATAATAACAGTAACAGAGAACTATGGAATAAATAATAATGGTAACAAAGTAGGAACTAATGAAATAAACATAATGAATGAAATAAGATAACATAAGAAATGAATTAACACCTAATGTAATGGAATATATTAGATGAAAAACGTAAGTGTAGACAGAAAATAAATGAGGTGGTGTAGTTGCTAAAATATGATGTCTTAGTATGCTAAAAGGAAGTGAGATAATCATAGAATAAAATATAAATCAGTGAAAAGGAATATGAAGTTACATAAAGAAAATAATAGATGTAGATAAAAAAAATTAAGATACTGTAAAATCTATCAAAACATAACGACTACATATAAGGGAATTAAAATAATGAAAATAAGATGTAAGGAGCGAATGTATCAATATACATTTTGGCCTCAAGACTGTCATGGATATTTAGTACAACACCATCTGCCGTTATATGTTTAATAATACTTTTTCTATTTTTTTCTTTTCAACCTGATTTTAAATCTTCTGAATTTTTAGTTTCAATCTTTCCTCTTCACCCTGCCTTTAGGTGTAGCCCAGGATTTACACTGTCTTCTTTTAAATTCTTCGATAATGATATTCCTAATCCAATCCACCAGTTTCTGCTTGTTATAGGCTGATAACTGCTGAATTTGTTTATATTTCCCTGATTCTGAATTCTTTATAGCGTTTCTCAAAAATCAAGAAAACCTAGAAGGGATCAGTATATATCTTGGCAAACTTGAATAAATTAAGGTAAAATATTGAGAAAATTCAAGCCATCATAATATATTTCAGTCACCTCCTCTAATCTAAGATCACCATGCCTACTTAAATCCTAAATGATCACCTGTTTGCTTTCAGCTCTTCTGTTAAAAATTTAGATAAAAGTAATCATTGACCAAACTCAGTTCTGTGGAAATCCCTTTTGCCCAAATTTCCTGATTGTCAATAAGTACCATTTAGTTATTCCCTTGCTCGTTACCAGCATCTTCACAACAATACAAGTAAACTCATGTTTCTTCCCTTGTTTGTTTAGATTGTGTTAAGTATTGATTACATCCATTGTGGATAACATGGTCTACTGATTTTATGTTATAGCCATTAGACCTATAGTGCTTTACTCAGCTCTGCTTTGGTGGCACAAAGCAAAGATTGGAGCAAAAAAAACTCTACTAGAAAAGTTGGGCTTAGACCAGTCCCATAACTCTTGAACCTGTATGTGGTATAAGCTTGAGCTTTGCCAAAAGGAGAGTTAAGGAAATATATGGTGCCTAATTCAAGCAGTACTGGTCCGACAAGGTACAATGTCTTCAAGCTGTTCCTTAAAGACCCTTGCGATAAAAGGAGCGAAGCAAGCTTCTACTTTGTGTAGTGTGAACAAGTTAATGACACCAAAGGCTCTGAGCTTATTAATTCTATACATATTAAGAAACCAGAAGCGACCAAACTAAGGTTTTAACATGAAACAGCGTACCTATGATTGTGCGTTGCATTATGCCACAAAAAAATAGTACAGATTGAAGAAAATTCATGAACTGAATTTTAAGGCTTGTGTGAGGCATCTCTCATGTGTTTTACCATTATAAAGGTGAAGTGGTTCTTCCCAGATTCTACTTTTGGTTATTCATTATCTTCCATCATGCATCCTATTGCCACAACTTGTCTACTCACAAGAAACAAGATCCCGTCCTTTCCCGCTCCTAGCATTTTCTGGAATTCCTTTCCTCATATCTGCCATGCTTCTTCCCTCCCCTCATTCAAATACAAATACATCACTTTTAAACAGATGCTCATTAATAAGAATAATTTAATTTCAGTTTGGACAATATCAGAAGTAAATATTTGTTTTCAATATTTAAATCTTATCTCTGTGATTGAATCCATTTTTTTGTACAATAACTGTTAAAAGTTTTAACCAGAAGATTTTGTATATTTTTATTGATAGAAATTTATATATTTTTAGTAATACCATGTGTTATGTATTGTGGCAAAATCAAGATGAATTAAGCTTGAGAATGACCAAAATCAAGATTTGTTAATTTTTACGCTTAAGGGACTTACGATTAGTCCCACATCATTTTTTTTTTAATATCTAAAGTCATCATTATACAAACCAGTTTTACTTGGGGGTTATGGATAACCATATGGTGGGCATAGCATAAGTTGATTATTGTATAAAAATCATGTATCATTCTTTTTCCCCCTTATTCCTCAATGATCATAATTATAACTACCCAATAATTTTTGTATTTTAGTTGACTCAGAGAGTAGGAAGCGTGTATCTTCCTTAGAAGATGAAAATGCAAAAAAGAGGAAACAAGTAATTCTTGGCCCTGACCAAGGAGGTGGATCAGTTCTGATGAATTTGCTTGTATCTGGCCATGATCTAAGTTCTGGTTATATATGTATTGATCCTCGCCAATCCTCCTTAAACAACATTTTAAAAAAAGAATCATAACTTTTTTTTTCTTCTAACCCCCTTCCCATTAAAATATCTTTTAACTTTTCACTTGCTATCAGAGTATTGTATTATGTTCAAATTTTATGTCATGTTATTCCAGTTAAAAGTTTATTCTCTGTAAATGATATTTTATAGATTCTTTGATGTAAAATAAGGAGGTATTGGTGAAGGTTGGAAGTGTATGGATTTACTGTTCTCTTCTGTATATAATTAACTATATTGTTATGTATTTTTGCACATAAATGGCACCTGAATTATTAACTGATAATATAGATTTGGAATATGTATTTATCAGGTGATCAGCAAATGATTATTGTATTATACTAATGATAATTGTAAATGTGTAAAATAGATACACAAAATAAATTCGCTATGAATTATATTGTAAATAAACACTCACTGAGAACAATTTTCCAACATATGCATGTATAGTAGTTCTATATGTTTTAAATTAGCCACTCTAATTATGTTAAAATCTAGTTAAGTCAGGTATTTTTTCTGTTGAAAAAGAGCAAGCATTTTTGTCTCACTTAATTTAATTCGTGCATTTTGCCTGACAGTTGAAAGTAATATTCATCGTATTCTATTTAATATCTTTATTTTATAGTCATTTATTTTATTAATAAATTTATCCAAATGACCTAATATATATTTAATATGATCTATTTCATGTTGAGTATAGTTTCCCAGTGTCAATAAAAAGTGCTTTTAAACTTGATATGTATTGATTTGTGTTATATCTGAATACTCATCTAGTAGTAATTAATTGCATTAGATATTGGTTTATCTCTCTATGGATTATAAATTTATCTATTTGGTATAACAGAAATGGAGAGATCAGAATAATTTTGAATGTTTAATCTTTATTTATTTCATACAATTTTTAGATTTATTTTCTTTTGTTCATTATTGTTGAATATGTTTAAAATTCAACAGTCATAAAATCAAAAACAATCTATAATCAAAAATTAAGTTATTTAAGTTTTTCAATAAAATAATGAGCAAATGCCATTTGCTACACTAGAATAAGTAAAAATTAAACAATTACTTGCAAATAATAAAATTCTGTCTCCATATAAAGAAAAATAGATTAATAATTGCACATTCCTACTTCAATTCAATTTACTCGACACTAAGGAAAATCCCTTAGTCTAAATTTTTGTCTTTGTCTGATTTTTTAAATATTAATTTTGTTGTTTCCACTTGTAATTAAATATTTCATCTTTGTCAATTTCATAGAAAATTTTTGATTTTCGTTTCTTAATCAATACATCTTTGCATCTACTGAAAATACCAATATAAAACTTAATGCAGCTAGGTGCCTACACTAAACTGTCTTTCATAGAGTGACATTTATAAATTAATGTTTTATTGATAACTGTTGGTAAAAAAAATATTTCTTAATTAATGTTTGATGATGTGAATATAACTATTGAAATATTGGGATAATTAAATAAAAGACTACATTATTTATATCCATTTTTTAAAAAAAGATTGTTTAAAATATGAAATGCAATATATTACAAAAATGTATGCTTTCTAAATAAATTTTCATGTTATTTTGAATTTTAGGATATATCCTAATAATTTTATATTTATATTCATACATATTTTTAATTACTTACAACTTATGATGTTTTGTTAAATGCTATATTGTTGTATAATAATGTGTATTATATTATTTAATTATATATTTCTAATTGGAAAGGATTACCCATTGTTTTAAATAGATATTGACAAGTGGGAAAACTTTTAATTAATGTTGATTTTAAGTCAAATTGAAAAGGGATAGTAATTGAGTGGACACAGGATTCACCACAGTTATGCAAATCGATAATTAAGAAAAACCTTCCGGTAAAGATTCAATTTTTACAACCTTTTTTTATCTTCTAAACTGAATTTTATTAACCTTCTATCTATTTAATTACAAGACTGCTAATTGATGTTTAATTTTGGGAAACAAGGGAGGTTATAATATTACTTAAAGAATATTGATTGAATAGTAACTGATTTCACACAAATTCAAATAAACATGTTTTAGTTAATCAACAATTTTTAGTGAGTGCTTATTAACATCTTTGTAAATTTAAAATGTGAATACATCTTACATTTTTAATAAACACATTAAAATATAATGCCTTTATATTTTTAAAAAATTAAATTTATAAAATACAATAGTTTTTGTATATGTATTTGTACTTTAGATATTCCACAAATAACCCTTATTTAACTTTTCGTAGTTATTTTTAAAAATTTTGTTATGATTGATTTATTTAATTTTTTTCAGTATTCTGAAATTAATTCTATTATAGTGATCAGGAGGTAACATTTTTTTTGTTTTCACATTTATTTTGACTTATAAAATTTATAATGTTAATTATGTATTCTAATTCAAATTTTAAATTATGCCTCACTGCTGAAGTGGTAAAAAGGGAAACAAAAACATTGAGATTAATATTTTATTCATTAAATTATTTACCTAAGATGTTTTTAGTGGTGAGGATATTAAGAAGGTTTATTTATCAAACAACAATGTTGACATTCTCCTTTTCTGTTTAAGTAGTGACCGAAATTTTTAGACTTACATCTAATGATCTGTTCTGTTCTATGTTTAAAGTTTTAAAATTGATTTAGATCTAATAGATATAAATATTAATGAACCAGTTAGTTAGTGATGTAAACTGCAAATATAAAGTTTTGTAGTGCTGAGAGAAAATATTTAATATTATATTTTTGTTATTCTTATTTGTATATTTTTTTTCTATGAATTGTAAACGAACTTAATGATAAATTTTGTTGGTTATATTGTTTGTATACGATGACAAATCACTGCCAAGTATTATATAAGATATATTTAATTTTTTAATATTTTTTTAATTATTAATGTTGTTATAGTGCACTATTCTTTTTATTTAGGTGTTAAAAGTTTTGTATTGTTATTTACATTATTTTTATTTTTTATTTGTAGTATTATATATTGATTTTAGTGCATATGTAGCAGTACATTAGCCTGGGGAAATCAAGGCTGTATTTTGTATGATGAATTTTAAGTAAAATAAAATATTTGATATAATTTTTTTATTTACAATAAATTCTATTAGTTTAAAGACTTCCAATTGATTGATACTAGAGTAAAAACAAATAAATAATCACTGAACTTCAGAGTGAGTCAACAATGAAAAATGGGGAAGGAAGTGTTTAAGGCACTGCAAAAATACAGCAAAATGTATCTAGATGATGTTTTAGGCAAATTCAGACTGCCACCAGGTATGAGGAGGAATGCAATTTTTTTCAATGTGAACAGCCAAAATGATTTGATAAAATATAAAAAAATCTTTTAAATAAATTTGCGAATATAAATATACGGATGAGTTGCATATTGCAATATTAATGTTATTAAGAAAAAAATGAAAATTCAAAAGATTTAAGATTAATTGTAATGAAGTTTTAAGAATATTATCCAATGGTTTAAATGGTGTTTTGATTAAATTGGTCATTTAATTTTTAATATGAAAAAAGTTATTCAAATGTTGGGATGATCTCTACGAACTTTTTTAACATTAACTATTATAGTCCATTAGAAGTTTGTCATATTTTTCTTGGCAGAGATTCAGTAAGTATGGCATAAGATCCAGCCAGTAGTTAGAGGAATTAAAATGTTCTCGAATAATACCCCAGGAACAGACTAAATAGGTATAGTACCTCTAAAAGATGGTAGAGATGGTATGTATTGGGATATATTACACAATATGAGACTTTTTTATGGAGGAAAGGTGTTACAAGAATGGAAGGCACCAATCTTATACATAATTTATAAGAAGGGGAACAAATTCAACAGACTAAAATAACCACATTATTATTAACAATTTTTGGCCGACCAATTATATTAAATGTTATTTTAAATCTAAGTTCCCAGGCATAGAGCCTGCCCTCAACTTGACTGTCTAATTTCTTAGAACTGTTGATAGGAACTCCTGATGAATTTGAAGCTGTCACCATCTCTTTGTCAAAAGTTCACACTAGTCCTGACTCCCCTCCCCTCCACTTTCTAAGCTTGTAAAATTCCTTATAAATTCTCATTAGAGTTCAAAGGCACCTTCATGTCAGTTGACCCTTTCAAATTCGGTCTCCTAGTAGTTATAGCCCTGAAGCCAGAGCCCAAAAAATCGACCTGATCACAGGTGAAAGCTTGAATGTAAATTACGAAATTGTATGTTATTCTAAGTAAAATGAATGCTGTCTGCCATTCCAGAGCCACTGCTTTTAAAAATGGCGGCTGATTTAAAGAATATTAGGCCAGTAACTTGAGGATCAAACGGGAAATTCATTGCAAAAAATATGGGAAAAGTTTTTATTTTTTTAAGTTGAATATATGGGTTAGACATGTATAAACCAAAATTACTAATGCAGGTCACCAAAGGATCGATCTTTTTTCACCTATAGCTATAGCTTCTTCGATGGCCCACATTAGTGATTTTGTTTTTTACATGTCTAACCCGGATATTCAACTTAAAAAAATAAATACTTTTCCCACAATTTTTAAATATGAATTTCCCGTTTCGATGCTCAAGTTACTGTACTAATATTCTTTAAATCAGCCATCATTTTTTAAAGCAGCGGCTCTAGAATGGCATACAAGATTCATTTTACTTAGAATAACATATACTTTCGTAATTTACATTCAAACCTTCGCCTGTGATCAAGTCGATTTTTGGGTCCTGGCTCCAGGGCTATTAGTTACTGTACTTTCATTTTTCTGATATCTCATGATCAAGATCTATGCTTTTATATTCAACTGTTGCCTAGTGGCAAAAAGAATTGGTCACAGCAGGATACATCTGGGAAAACTACAAAGATTAATCTGTCTAATGGTAACATGCCCAACTGCAGCTCTGGAAGTAATTTTAGGTTATATCTCATACAGCTGGAGATAGAAATACAGCCCTTGAAAACAATCTATAGGCTACACAAATTAAACTTATGTTCGAAGATGAATACCCATGAGGGACGGTGGGATGCTTGCAATGCACTCTGATACTTAGGTCAGAGAGTTTCTAACAAGGAATTATTATTTAAATATAGACATTTCAGGAAAACATAAAATGGGATTAATTGATACACTGGTAGATCATTAATGACTTGCGGCTCTTGTGCCTGTCTTCCGAGAATGGACGAATCGGAGGAATGCTTGACTATATCACTTGGTAAATGTGCAACGGTATTCTGATCTGAAATACTGGCGATATCTCACTGTTCTTTAAAGTTGTTGTTTGATGAGTTGGTGGGGAGGAAGATCCATACTGACAGTCAAGCGGTAATACGAGCGCTAGGCAACTATACAATTATATCTAAGGATGTTACGGGCTATGGTATAATTCTTAACAATTTATCTAGGTCTAATAAAGTAACCATCAGATGGGTACAAGAACAATCTGGTATCCATGGAAATGAGATGGCAGAAGAATTAGCTAGGAAAGACTCAAAAACAAATCCCATAACACCCGATCCTATCTGCGGCATTAGCATGTGCTTATTCAATAGCAGAATCGGGGAGATATGTGGTGCTGAAGCTAGGAAATTCTGGTTTTTGAAAAATCAGATTCACTCGAGGCTGTTCCTGAATGGAATCTGTGCAAAGATAAGCAATCTGCTAATGAACTTGAGCAGGAGATCTCTCAAGAAAATTACAGGGATCACTCTAAACTAAATTATCATATATTCAAACTCGGATTAACGGAGTCGTCTCTTTGTAGGTTCTGTAGTCAGGAGGATGAAACAGCTTATCACATCACTTGTTGAGCAAACCTAGGTTTGCTAGGTTAAGATTCCGTTTATTCGGTAATGATAGCATGTCTGACCACAAGACTAACGAGCTTGTCACCTTGTGGTTGCCCCAGCTGCTCCACCCTAAGGCCGGTACTGTTAATACTTACCTGAGGACTTAAATATTAAATCATTAAGCTGCTGAACATCTTTCTTATGTTTTGTTTGTAAGCATTTATGTTTTTTTTTTTTCTCCGAATTTAATTTATCGAAATGTTGGGACATAGAGGGAGGTGGATGAAAAAGTTGAGAGCTTAGAAGGAACTTTTCTCACATAAACTCAATTTACAAATTTTCAACTCGATAAATTAATTTGGAGGGACCATAGAAGTGCGCAAAGCATTAAAATGTGCAAAAATGGTTAGTGTCAAAATGCACTTCTCAAACTCCAACTCACTTTAAATATGGGGCGACCGAGCGGGTTATCGCGTGTGTAAAACTCGCGTTGCCCGGCAACCTGACAGACCTAAGATTGCAAGATATAATAATTACAATTTCGCTTCCCGGAAGGTGGGATGGCCGAGTGGGCTAAAGTTTGTACAAACCAGGCATTGCCCGGCTACCAGAAATTGATAAACCGAAATTTATTCTTCTTCTTCAATGGGCGCTACAGTCCTTGTAGAACCTTGCCCTCTGCCACCACTCTCCTCCACTCCTCACGGTCCGTAGCAAGATTCCTCCAATTTCTGATCCCTAGCCTCCTCAAGTCTTCTTCCAGATCATCCAACCATCGGGTTCTGGATCTACCTCTTTGTCTTTTCCCTCTTGGAGTAGCATTCAGCACCATTTTTGGAAGTCTACTGAGATCCATTCTTTCAACATGACCCAGCCATCTGAGCCTGCCCTTCTTAATGACACTAAGGATGTCTGGCTCTCCATATAACTCCATTAACTCTGTGTTGCTTCTTATTTTCCATCTATGCTGCTCTCTGACAGCTCCAAAGATCTTCCTTAGGATTTTTCTCTCTCACACCAGCAAGGCTCTCCTGTTTTCCTTGGTCATAGTCCACGTCTCACTATACAAAACTACCGGTCTAATCACCGTTTTATATATTACTATTTTTGCCTTCCTGGACAGACTTTTGTATCGGAGCGCTTTTTGCAGAGCATAGGAACATCTAGTTCCTGCAACCATCCTGCCTTTTATTTCTGCTTCCATATTATTGTTTTCCGTCACTACTCCGCCCAAGTACTTAAATTTATCACAGTTGCGAAACGTGTCTTCTCCCAATTCAACAGTATATCCTCTCTCTCTGGTATGTCGGGATGTTTTCATATACCTCGTCTTTTCCATGCTTATAATGAGTCCTAACTCTTGAGCTGCATACTTGAACTGTTCTATAGCGCCGGCTAGTGCTGCTTTAGTTCTTCCTGATATAACTACGTCAGCATATGCCATGTGTTGCGTGAGCCTATTATAGATGGTACCTCCTGGGTTCGTCTTGATTTTCCGAATTGCAACCTCTGAAGCAAGACTGAATAGTAAAGGAGATAACGGGTCCCCCTATCTTAAGCCACTGTTAACCTCGAAACTATCTGACATACCCACTCTGGTTTTGATCATACAGCTTG